ATGACTGATTGCTAGTCCCTTTCCTTAGCTTCATGCACTAGTTACACTTTGACACCCGCGCGATTGCTGTTGAATAGAAAAACGTTGCACCCATTGTTTGTTCAGATCTCGCCTTCTTAAGGTTTTGCTAATTTTTCCACTTTTTCTCGCTGTTATAACAGAACTGGATGCAGTGAACCAGCGGCACGAGGAGGAGGCCAGAGAGCACCAGGAGGAGAGGGAGAAATGGAGGGAAGAGACAGCTGCTAAACTCTCTGACAAGGACAGGGTGCGCTACAATTACCATGGCACCTAAATTTTTGAGAGATGCAAATTATTTTTACGACTTCCTTTGTAATGTGAAAGTGGTTTACACATTATAGATTTGTGATAGTCGCTTCGGCGATAAATAGTTCAGCGAAATCTTGTTTGGCCGAATTTTTACGAAATTTTTCATCCGTCAAAAGTTGTATGTCCAACATGATAATTATGTACCTAGTGTAGTAGACATAGTGCACACTACTCTAGTTACTGAATGCTGAAAAGTGAGTTTCTGTTAACAGGAAATACAGGTTCTCCGGAGCAGGTTTGACAAGGCAGACGAGGCGGCGACGGAGCTGAAGCTACAGGTGGTCGAGCTGCAGCTGGAGAAGGTCACCTGCGAGCAGAACCTCCAGGATGAGGTCTCCAACTTACAGGTCTGTTGGCTGTGCACTATTTTAACTCCCTTACTCTGGTTTCCAACTCTGGTCCAATGTGCAGCACTTGGCCTCTAGGCCATGCAGTACGTTGCACAATATAGCGCAAAGTATGACCTTGTGTCTAACTAACGCATACTCTCTCTCTCTCACACACACTCTCTCTCTCTCTCTGTTTTCGTAGTAAATACAGATAGTTTCAGATCGCGTGGTTCTTACCCCTAATCTCTTTCCTCTATGCACCCTCCCCACTCTCTCTCTCTCTCTCTCTCTCTCTCTCTCGCTACAGGAGAGATTGTCTCAGGCTGAGAGAGATAAGGAGGAGGGAGAAATGGTCTGGGAACAGAAGAAAGATGAACTAGAAGGAAGAGTTACTGAGGTGCATGGGTCGGCCTTTATCCTCCTCTCTCCCTCTCTTTCTTCCCTCTCTCCCTCTCTCTGTTTCGTTTATATTGCGAGGGTGTAGATTTTGCAGTCTGCTCGGCCCGGCAGTGGCATGTCTTGTGAAAATTTCACGACTATGTCATGTGTAAATACATTTATTTTTTATCTACTAGTTGGAAGAGACAGTGTCAGACAGAGAGTTCCAAGTGGCTTGTCTGCAGGACCAGCTCAAATCTCTAGAAACCTTCAAGTTAGCCACTACACTAACCACCTTGTAGCTGTATATACCTTCTTTATAAAGGGGCGCCCCGAGTAAAGGACACCTCTCCATGAAGGACAGTTGTGTCGATTTGGTGGTGGTATCACTTTCGTGACTTCTGGATTATTAAGGACACCTCTGTGTAAAGGGTCACGGTCCCAACGTGTTTTTACGAAGATGTTTCTCTGTAATGGTGTTCCTAGTAGTTCTCCAGTCACTTAGGAATGTGCTATAATTATAGTACAACTTCCATAGGGTAACCTATTTCCTCACGACTGGCTTCCTCTTAGCCTGAAACGCAGGTGGCGGAAAATGCATAGGTTTGGTACGGCTGCCAAACAGGTAGCAATGTGTACATGAGATGTGCACGTCTCAACAACTTGGTAATGAGGTAGAAAGGCAAGGCAAGGCGAATAAGTCAACTACACCCAGGACAGCTCTTTCTTTACCTGCCCTGGGTGGGATTCGAACCCACGACACTCTGCAGTCTAGGCGAGCGCTCTACCAACTGAGCTACCAGGGCAACTCAGCTGGTAGGGGTTCGAATCTACAACACAACACAACACAAAGGCAAACCTCAAACCACTGTACATGGCACAGTATATACATACGAGTGCTGGAGTGTTGTTGATATTCACCCCCCCCTCAGGGCTGAAACTCTCAGTAACATAGTGAAAGAATCAAAAGACGAAGCACTACTCAAACTCCAGAATGAAGTGAGCTACACATGGCATGCATAAAAAAATCTAACAAAATTTCGTGCAAAAAGTTTAGGAGAGCTCACAAACCACGAAATTTGCTAAATTTTCTCCCTATAAAGGTGTACGTATGTGGTAACCAAACTTGTGTTTGTTGTAGATTATTGATCTGGAGAGAAGGCTACATTCTAGGACTATGGACGTGGAAATGGCACGCATTGATGTGAGGGCTGTGATATCTGCTTCTCTCTGACATGCCGCCATCTTTTATTTCCTTCATCCCATACACACACACACACTAACGCACGCACTATTACTTCCATAATTTAGGTGTCCTTACAAATTGTATAATATCATCGGAATAGCAGCGGGTCAGCCATGCTGGCTGGATGCCCCATGCTCCACCCACAGGAAAGGGGGTGTGGCATAAATTAACACAGAAACCAATAGCTCAATATTGCCCAATGTACGTTCCCAGTAGAGTAGAAGTGAGTCAACAGTTAATGATGCATACACCTTGGACCACTAGGCAGCCACACGCGGTGAGGTTGGCACACACCTCCCACAATCTGTAGGACTATCTTCCTTTTCTTCCCCCAATACCCAACACACACACACACACACACGCACACACGCGTGCACACAGGCCGACACCCAGATGAGATGGAAGGAGGAGCAACTCCAAGAGGGAGTCTCACGACAACTGAAGCTAATGGCGACGGAGAAGGAACTGCGAGAGACGGTGAGCGAAAAAGACGGCGAACTTCGCGAACTCCGGCAGCTGCTGGACCGAGCGCGATCGGACGGAGGGAAGAAGGAGAGAGAGGTGACGAGGCTCACAACTGAGCTGGGAGAGGCCAACAAGACTAGCTCAGAGCTGGAGAAGAAGGTTCGTAACAAAACCTCTGAATGAATGAAATGCTGGGACCGACAACATTGTCATTTGGGGGCAGAACCAAGTGTCTTCATGGAGTGATGTCCTTTCTCTGAGGGACCTTTTCATACGTTTTGCTACGTAACGGAGCAAAGTGTCTCCTTTAAACAGGGCGTTTGTTTTGTGGTGCTAAAGTACACACAAAACAAGTGTCCTTTATTGAGACAGTGTGTCCTTAATTCACCACCTTAGCCTACACCACCTCCCCCTTCTCCATCTCCCCCTCCACCTCAGGTTTGGGGGGGATCTCACTGTGTGCCCTTAATTCAGTGTTCCAAAGTCCCACTCTATATATATATACAAGTGAAGGGATTGGGTGTATGTTTAAGATGGTGTTTCAAGATGGTGGTTTTGTTTTGTTTGTGGATGTATAGTTGGAGGAGGCGGTGGTGTCTCACGCCAGACACCTCCAAGAAATGACAGCCCAGAAAGACACGAGAATAGCCGAACTTTCAAAGGTCACTTGCTCTCCGTCTCTCTCTCTCTCTCTCTCTCTTTCCCTTTTCCTTTTCTTCTTCCTCTTTCCCCTCTTTTCCTTTTTCTTCTTCCTCTTTCCCCTCTTTTCCTTTTTCTTCTTCCTCTTTCCCCTCTTTTCCTTTCTCGTTCTTATCGTGTCGTTTCCTCTGTGGTCCAAGTTTCAGTCTCGTTGTTCTGAATCGTTTTGATAAGGCGAGGACGGGTAATTCGGATTACGTAATATTCAGTGCCGGTTCTGTAAGACAAAACAATCCGCAGCAGATATTTACTAGTATACCCTTGCCTTCATGTGGTAGCAGTAATATCGCCAAAAGCTTTGACAGAATCGGCCACTGAATGTAACGTATTCCAAATCCACAATACTTTACGATAAGTATTCTGAGACCTAAAATGCCCTGGTTTCTAACACTAAGAGGTATAAGAAGGCCTTATCTATTCACTTGCCTTGGGTTGACAGACAGTGGTTCTGTACATACCAAACAAATTTATACGTGTCGTTTGCCTAGGGATATCCAACAAATCTGTTGCAGTACCCAGACAGGACAGCATTCGCCATTGCAGGGCTCATGCTGTGCTGTCTGGGCACTTACAGCTACATTTCTTTACCTTTCTTACAATACCATAACCTACCCCTCTACCCTACTTCCTCTACTATGTAAAAACTGTTGACTCATACTGTATTATATGTATATTATGCAGGCACTGGAGGAGCTGCAGTCAGAGATTCTGGGATCTGAGACTGTTGCTGCTCCCGAGAGGAACCCCCTGGACTTTGCCACTGTCTCCACTCAGACCGACCCACCTCCCCCTCCTCCTTCTCCATCTCCTCAGGTTTGGAGTCCCCCCATGATATGACATCATCGAAATCAGGGAGGAATTTTGCGCCTACCCCTCTTCCTTTTGCCTTCCCCCACACCTGTCCATTACGGTGCCAAGCGCCAAGAGAGTAGAATGGTCACTTTTCACTATTTTTGCCCAATTTCTCAGCTCTCAGTATAATTATACTATTATCAGATTAATCAGCAATGATTGAGGATCATTTTGATATGTCACTTGTGTGTGGATTGGTTACAGCAAGCGAGCGGGGGGGGGGGCAATTGGCTCTCTGTAAATGGATGGGTTTACTCACTGAACTATAGCTCAGAGCAATATTAAGTGAGAGCGCAGTGGTTGTCTGGGTTACCTTGTAGTGTTCAGTTAGTACCTCTGTATGTTCACCTATCAATCTCATACATTTTTACTAGGAGGAGGCTAAAGTGGGAGAAGGTGCAGCAGTTCTCCAAGTCAGCAACATCCCAGATACCTCCCTGACTGTTACCAATGGACTGGTTAGTTCAACACACCTCACTATTTGGAAACACAGACTGAAATTTGCAAGACCCGTATATAGGTCAACGTGCTATTATTGTATTATACTTGACCTCCGATATAGGGACGACCTCTCTACAAGGGACACTTCTTTCAACCCCATGCTAATACTTTGGTGTATTATTTGACCTCCGAGATAGGGACGACCTCTCTACAAGGGACACTTCTTTCAACCCCATGCTAATACTTTGGTGTATTGTTTGACCTCCGAGATAGGGACGACCTCTCTACAAGGGACACTTGTTTCAACCCCATGCTAATACTTTGGTGTATTATTTGACCTCCGAGATAGGGACGACCTCTCTACAAGGGACACTTGTTTCAACCCCGTGCTAATACTTTAGTGTATTATTTGACCTCTGAGATAGGGACGACCTCTCTACAAGGGACACTTGTTTCAACCCCGTGCTAATACTTTAGTGTATTATTTGACCTCTGAGATAGGGACGACCTCTCCTATAGGGACACTTGTTTCAACCCCGTGCGTCAATACTTTAGTGTATTATTTGACCTCTGAGATAGGGACGACCTCTCTACAAGGGACACTTGTTTCAACCCCGTGCTAATACTTTAGTGTATTGATTTGACCTCTCGAGATAGGGACGACCTCTCTACAAGGGACACTTGTTTCAACCCCGTGCTAATACTTTAGTGTATTGTTTGACCTCCGAGATAGGGACGACCTCTCTACAAGGGACACTTGTTTCAACCCCATGCTAATACTTTAGTGTATTATTTGGCCTCCGAGATAGGGACGACCTCTCTACAAGGGACACTTGTTTCAACCCCATGCTAATACTTTAGTGTATTATTTGACCTCTGAGATAGGGACGACCTCTCTACAAGGGACACTTGTTTCAACCCCATGCTAATACTTTAGTGTATTATTTGACCTCCGAGATAGGGACGACCTCTCTACAAGGGACACTTGTTTCAACCCCATGCTAATACTTTAGTGTATTATTTGACCTCCGAGATAGGGACGACCTCTCTACAAAGGGACACTTGTTTCAACCCCATGCTAATACTTTAGCGTATTATTTGACCTCCGAGATAGGGACGACCTCTCTACAAGGACACTTGTTTCAAACCCCATGCTAATACTTTAGTGTATTATTTGACCTCCGAGATAGGGACGACCTCTCTACAAGGGACACTTGTTTCAACCCCGTGCTAATACTTTAGTGTATTATTTGACCTCTGAGATAGGGACGACCTCTCTACAAGGGACACTTATTTCAACCCCATGCTAATACTTTAGTGTATTATTTGGCCTCCGAGATAGGGACGACCTCTCTACAAGGGACACTTGTTTCAACCCCGTGCTAATACTTTAGTGTATTATTTGACCTCCGAGATAGGGACGACCTCTCTACAAGGGACACTTGTTTCAACCCCGTGCTAATACTTTAGTGTATTATTTGACCTCTGAGATAGGGACGACCTCTCACTATATGGAAACACCGACTGAAAATTTGCAAGACCCGTATATAGGTCAACGTGCTATTATGCAGGGAGGCAGTGAGACAGAGGAGAGAGAAGAGGAGGGAGAATTGACAATGGAGTCACACGGACTCATAGAAGAGGTACGTATATACACACATACATACACACTTATCCACTGACACTATAATACATCCGCTAGCGGTCAGAGTTCTGTTGATGTTGAAACACTGGTCTTGTAGGAAGGGAGGTTTTTTGGGGGAATTTGATTGCCAGGGCATGCCCCATGTCAATGCATGCCCCATACCAGAGCATGCTCTATGGCTATAGTATATACAATGCTATATATAAACATACTATTCATGCACTAGGGCGTGAGCTTTTACAACTCTTCATAGAGTGCATGCACCATGCCAGAGCATGCACTAGGGCATGAGCTTTTAAACTCTTCAACAGCAGGGGCTATAGGCTAATCAGTCAAAAATGTACTAATTAGTTTTAGTTTACATTGACATGCAAGGAAACATACGTGTCATTAACTTCTGTACATTAAAGGTAAAAGGTCACCAAATTAGCCCAAATTAGTGGCATGTACACCAGGCAGGGATCTGGCAGTTGATTTCCTCTGTGTCCCCCTCCTTCCCCCTTCGATATTGCTGCCTGGAAACTGGAACGTTGTATGTATGCTCATGTCCATTCCCTCCCTCTCTTCTACTGTTACCCCCTCACTATTTCTTTCCACACACACACACACACACAGTTGCAGCTGTTGAGACAGGAACAGGTACGGCTGCAGGAAGAAGTTGCGGAGAAGAACAAACTCGTCCGCTTTCAACAACTCAAGATTGTCGACATGAGGAAGGCTCTAAATAGAGAACTGGTGAGCCTCTCACCTGCACCGAGTCAGCAATACAACTGTAAACCCTCTCTCTCTCTCTCTGTGTGTCCTTTTCCACGCACACTAAATTTAAGCGCATGTGGCAGGCAATCAACGGTAGCTATGCCCTCTGTCTGGCTGCCAAGAGACACTCAGTCCCTGTGAGCTTCACACTCATACACGTGTCAATACATGGTGCAAATATCAGGGGGAGATAAGAGTATAGACCTTCACACTAATTCTCTAAGTCACATGACATACTTGTGTAGATTGAGGCCTCTGGTGCTTAGGAAACTTGGACATAGAGGGAGAATGTGCGGTATAGCGACGGTATGAGACACAAGATGTAGTACATGCGTCGTGCATAATAATAATTATACAGGAGCCCCAAGTTACTTATGCTCTGCTGATGAGGGCCAACAAGCCCGAAACAGCTGTCCAGAGCTATCTCTCGTGGTTTCACGCCATCGTGGTGCTATTTTCAGTGTGAAATATCAGTATAAAGAAGTGATGATTCATGCAACTCCAGAGCACCACATCTTTTTTCTCTTGGCATCACATGGTCTAATACCTTCATGTAACTGACATTTCTCATCACAGCGTTCACAGTCATCCGTAGACCAATTCACACCTCCCCCTCGCCTCCCTCACACCTTCCCCGCCCCACCATCGGTACCCTTCACCATGACAACAATGTTGTTGAGGGGGAAATCCCCTGGCCCCGCCCCCAGTGGTCCGATAACGAGCTGCGACGACGTCAACATTCAGTACCTGAAACACGTCATTATTAAATTCCTGTGCAGCAGAGAAGATGAGGTATTATAAGGATGTCAAAATTACTGTTTATAATAATGTACCATAATGGCAAGAAATCCTCAATGGCTCCACAACTGCACCGTCTCTCTCTTCAGGCAACTCAGCTAATCAGAGCTGTAGCCACACTCCTGAATTTCACCACTCAGGAAGAGCAGTTCGTCAAAGACTACTTCGACTATAAGGTGTAAGATTCATTTCACATTTCACATCATGTATATACTTTAATAGTACCAGAATTCAATCCATGTAAGCCCTAGAGCTAACTGAATTACAGTGGAACCTCCGATGAGGGACCCTCCGAGATAGGGACGACCTCTCTACAAGGGACACTTGTTTCAACCCCATGCTAGTGTATTATTTGACCTCCGAGATAGGGACGACCTCTCTACAAGGGACACTTGTTTCAACCCCATGCTAGTGTATTATTTGACCTCCGAGATAGGGACGACCTCTCTACAAGGGACACTTGTTTCAACCCCATGCTAGTGTATTATTTGACCTCCGAGATAGGGGCGACCTCTCTACAAGGGACAAAATCGTTCGCCCGGTAGACCTCCGAGATAGGGACGACCTCTCAAAATCGTTCGCCCTCATAGTATCCCTTGTTCAGAGGTTCCACTGTAATCAATTGTGTACCACACATACCTTGTGGTTTGCACGAGGTAGTAATGTTTTGGGGGGGATTCTACCTGGTAGGGGTATAAGGAAATTGGTAGTATATTATCGACCTATTATAGCAATGTGACATCTTGCGTTGCACTAAACCCTAACACACCTTGCAAAATTAACACTTAACATAAATGTGTCCAGAACCTCTGTAAGTCCATAAGAATTTAGGCGCTATGCTTATTTCCCATGGTGTCCAATGCGTTAATTCCAACACGTCATGAAAATCTCAGTATTAGCATGAAATTGTATAACATAACAGCATGAAGGTGTTGGACCAACACGTAATGGCTGCAGTATGCATAAATTATGTAAGGTGCATATAATTGGTATATGGTATATGGGAAAGCCATACATTGAAGTTAGGCTTCCTTATCAGTAGCCATACCGTAGTCGACCTGTTTGCCCCGGCCTTGCCATGCCTTGCCTTTCTACCTCGTTACTAAGTCTTTTACAATGAGGCAGTAAAGTGAAGACTCTCCAGTGGGGCTTTACTATCAATTCCAACTGAGCCATGATGGCATATGAAAACTATGAGGTGGAAAGGCAAAGGCACAACAAACACAACACAACGCAAGGCAAACCTCAAACCACTGTGCAATATGCCTTATTACACACATCAGAGGTCACGTTGATTTTTGTACAACACTCTACTTAAGTTAGAATTTGCAAAACCAACAATCAACTATGTAATGTGAATCCTCAAGTGAAAAACCTTTTTATGATGACTTTAACCCTCCTCTTCCTTCTTGCTTTCATTTTCAGATGTCGTGGTTTGGGAGCATGCCTCAGCCTATTTATCATCCTGTCAGAAACACGTGACCCAAACTCTCTAGCATCTCTTCTTACACACACACACACACTTCCTTCAATGCCACGTCAAATCATCACGTCATTAATTTAAAATTCCATCATAATTCATAATAATAATGGTATATCGGTGTATTATTATCATACAGTTTGTTTTGATGAATGGTGGATTAAAAATGAATTGAACCCTAGTAGCAAATAAATAGTTGATATAAAACGTGACATAAAAAACATACACCAAAAATTGACTTCTATGAGGAAAATGAAATATTTCACCATTTTTCATGATAATCTCGTAAGTGGCCTGTGGTTATGATGTCACCATTGTACAAATGCTGCCAAGTGGACAGTCTCGCGATACACTGCGCCGATGACGGTTACCGGTAGGACGGTCATGAGGACAAGAGAGACGGCAAAATGCCCGAGACTTTTCGAACTCTCGGTCTGGAGATAGTGGTAATAGTGGCAGACGGACAGACTCAATAGCAGGCACCACACCAGAACCGAAGACCCTATCAGGAAAAACACGTCTAGACTTTCCGGAGGAATGGCGTCAATGTTGATATTGACGACGCGGAGGAGGAATGCGATGAGTAGAAAAGCTGGTAGCGATGCCTTTTTTATCAGCCGGTTTGACGAAAAACCGAGGCAGGGGAGGACTGTTAGTGCTGATATCCAGAAACACCAGTTCAGGAGATGCTCTGGTTCCAGCGGTGTTGTAGGGTCGGGTATAATGGTTTTGTTCACGGAGGCGAGTGCACACGCCCCGACCGACATCGTGACTGCTGTGACATAACAGTACCAGTCCAGGACGATCCATCTGTGTCGGATCTCGCGATACAGCTGCTCCGCTTCTCCCCCGACGGTCACTGCAAACACGGCGATCCTGTTCTCATAGTAGTAATAATCCTTCAGCATGTTCACAGAGAGAAGAACGCTGAGCATCAGGAGTACGTCCAGCACCATCAACAGGTGTATGTTGTCGTTCAAGAGCGGTAGATGGACAATGGACGCCGTGAAAAACTGACACACGCCGCCCTCTGTGAACCTTCTTCCCACAAGTCTGACTCCTCCGATGTAGCCGAGGAGGGCCGCAAAGAGAAAGACGTAAACGACCGACATCCAGATGGAGTGGATGTGTCGTTTCGTCATGGTCTCCGACATCTGAAACACTCTCTTTGGCTGCGCCTGAATGAACCGAACCTCGTAGTGCGGCGAGAAGTTTCTGTGAACACTCATCATCCGTTCAACAGCCGTCTCCTCGGTGAAACTGGTATGCGGTATTTGAGGCTTGAAGGCTATCGGGCTAATGTGCATGCAGAAACAGAGTGGAGTGATTGCCACGGTCAGGATTCTCAGAGACAGCATGGCAAATCTCCGCGTGATTTCGTCCAGAGTCGACTCGGATCTTTGGAAGACTTTGCGGAACCCCCCGTCCTCACACATTGTCTGCAGAATGCACCGGAATCCGTTGTAGAGGAGAAAAGTGGCGGTTACGAGGATTATGAGCTCCCTCGTGCTCCTGTTGTAGAACCCCTGAACCAGATTGTACGGGGCAGTGTCAAAGAGCCTCAGGCCAAACTCGTGCATCACGTCTATTCCTATTCCTTTGCTCTGTTTTTCCCCCCAATCTCCTGTGATATTGTCGCCGAGATTGGGCTCCGTGTTTTCCTCCGTTAACCCGTCCATCACCTGCGCGTGATTCGTTTTAACCCACTCCACACTGAATTCGGGGGGTTGAGGACTCCCGAGGTGGAGTTGCAAGGGGGAGGGAGAGAGACACGTGGAAGTCGTCGTGTGGAGGTTGAAGCTGCTGTGCAGCTGTTTTGGTAGCTGTCTTCTCGCTGATTGGGGAAGATCTTGTGAATAGGACGAGTGCCGGCGTCTGGCCCCCTGTTTTTCCCGGGCTTCCTCGGAATCTTCAAATGTAGGCGCCACACTTGCTGAGTCTAGTGATATTTGATATAGAGGTGGTCTGGGAGGGTTTGGTGTGTCTGCTCGACTGTGGTGTGGACTGGAGACAGTTGATGTGGCGACGGTATGGAGCGGAGACCGTCCCATTGTGTCTGTGTAGCTCACGGTAGTGGTCGTGGGGGTTGCGATGGGAGGGATGGGGGACCAGACAGAGGGGGAGGGGATGGAGGAGGGAGTGTATAGAGGACTGTTTTTGCAGCTGCATGTCATGTAGATGTTAGTGACGCTGCTCCCCGGGGTGTGGCTACAGCAGGGGTGGGGACGCCCCGGGTAATTAATCTCGATGTCTTTGGGGAGGGAGTGAGTCCGTCTGTGTCGTCCGGGGCGACGGTTGCCATGGGTGGGGCTGATTTCTCGGAGGTCGTTGTTTGTGTAGACCTCTTCCGACGATCTAGAGTTACTTCTGGAGAGAGGGACGCAGCAGCGACAGGTCTTGAAGCAGCTGGACGGGTCGTCGTCTGTCCAGTCTTCTTCTGGGAGCAGGTGATCTGGAGTAAAGAGCGACGGGAGTTAAAGTGAGTGATTCGAAACGGACACCAAAACCTGTACAGAGATAGTTTGAGAAAGGTACACCCTTAGCGCTATTGGCAAGTAAAGGAAGCTTTCCTAGTTGTCATGGTATTTACACATCTCTAGGACACTGCACATACCGTAATGACTAAATACTAAATGGAACTGCTCGCGCTCGCTCGCTCGCCAAAACGCGTGGTATTCTTTCTAGTAATGAAGAGTAGAGGGGAAGGAAAAAAGGTAAAAGGCTTGTGCTTGTGTGAGTTACGTGGTAGTGGAAAAAAGCAGTTGGAGGGGGGCTTTTATTCCACATGGCAGAAGGGCCCCATTGCAGGTACAGGTGTGTGTGTGTGGGGGGGGGGGTGAGATCATTGAAAGAAAAGAAGAGACATGTTGACAAATGGGGAAATCAGGTCAACATGCTAGTTGAGTGATTCATGGGTCACATGTGAGTCTCAGGTACTTATTCATTGCAGCTGTGGAACATTAGATGGTACATAGTTACAGCAGGGGTGGGGGTGGGGACGCCCCGGGTAATTAATCTCATACTTTGACTGCAGAACTAAAACAGAACCCCTACAAGGCCCTTAAAGGTCAGAAAGTTAGACATAATTCACAAAGGGAGAGTTGTAACAAACCCTGCCATTCAGGGCAAACAATACTGAGCAGCACCGGAACCTAGAAATAAAAACTTTCAACATGCACACTCACCTTGGCTGGCGTACTAAGTACACTACATACCATTGTATATGCACACACAAATACCTGTGTTTCTATATCACATAGACTGCATGCGCCTGTATGTCCAACGAGCAACTATAGCAGTTGTGGGGAAAACTGGCAAACTGGAGTGTGTGCGTTGTACACATGTATATCAATAGAGCCGCGTTAGTTAGTGGAGGGGAAAAGCAACGCGTCCCCAAAAGCTGCTAGCGAGGCTGGGGCAACCCCGTTTCAGGGTTTTAGTTCCGTGTTGGGTTCGGGAAGAATGGTGAGAAATCAGCTGGACGTAAACGTAGCTTCAACAGTACCAAATACTGATCATAGTGTGTCACTGAATTGTATGTATGTATGTATGTAGGTACGTACGTTCCAAGTTTCTAGCCGTTTTGACTTGCTGTGTGTGTGCCGTCGAAAGCAAAGTTTCTGAGCATGCTTATGCATTACACCACATCCATCGTAGTCCACATAGTCAATGCATGAAGCGTAGTGGGCACTTCATTCAATGCTTAGAATGCTGAAGAGCCCAAATTCCACCAAAGAAGGCAGTGTAAGTTAGCCTCAACAAAACGAGACGTGTAGCTGCTGTGTTGTACACGGACAATGTATGGCCTGTAGCACTACCCGGCACCCTGTGGAGATCCATGCACCAGGAAACCTAGGGTGACACATGAGGCTCGATTCTCAAACTGCCGTCAGTACACCGGTGGAGTGAGCTGTTATAGGGCTTCCAGAACAAAGCACTGAGCACCAAGCACCAAGGCGGCCAGTCCTGGTTCACCAAGACTCTGTGTCATGTTTTGAAAATACCCAAGTTTCCCACTCTGTGGCGCACACATCTCAGTAATCCCAGAGTTCTAGTCCCAGCTAGTGAGGACAATTTGCACTGTGCACTCAATTTTACCTGCATATTCAAGTATAGTACAGAAAAAGGACTTCACAAAACTGAAGTGGTTGTCTAAGAAATCACATCAATTGGGTATATCTCCACAGTAGGCAAAAAGCTAGATATAGCTGAGACTCACCTCTAAGCGTATGAACGAAGCTGTCCAGTAGTTTGCGGTGGTCTTTACTCCGAGCGTAGTCCACGACCTTCCGGAGGGTGTGTTCGCGTCTGTAGGGGTGCCGGTTGGCCCACTTGTCCACCAGTTCCTCTGCCGAGCGAGCCCTCAGCTCCCGTAGCCCGAAGTGCTCAGAGAACCCTCTCCAGTTGGTGGGGATGAAGTTTCCCTCGGCGAGCTCCAGGGAGCGGACCAGCACCGTTCTGAAGCAGCCCGGAGCATCGCTCAGCGAGCATTGCAGGTAGAGGCCGAGAGGAGAGCCCAGCAACTGGTCGATTCTGGCGTCCTCTGCTTCCCAACTGGACGATACGTCGCTGCCAAGACGTGGTCGTCCAGACATGATCTCACAGAACCCACCGAATGGCTGTCGTTTTTTGTGATTAGTAAACGTTGCCCAAGAAGCGCGATCTTCAGCGTGGTCTTTTCTTGTCAGTGTTGTGTCCCATAGCTAGGCGGAGAATGTGGGGTTTTCGCTGAAATTTGCTTTTTTACCCTACATCATCGTGTGTGTGCTGTTGCTGCAGCCTTATGCAAAAGGTCAGCCCCGCCCCTTCGAAGATTGACTTTCACGTGATATGGCGTGATATCACGTGCACAAAACGTACGTAACCATTTTAGACTACACTTTGAACTCTTAATAGCAATGGCGCGCGCTTTGCGGGATTTGCCCGCGCGCGCGAAAATCGTACGATCTATAGCGGATTACGTAATGGGTATTGCCGAGATTAGTTTCCAAAAAAGGTAAACTTGGTTGCCACGTTGTGCAGTCGTCACCCTCTCAAAGCCAAACCGTTATAAAAGGAACGGCAGAGAGGACGACAAAAGTTGCCTCGTGTATACAAACACGACGAAAAACTTTGCACAATAGTCCCGACGACAAAGATGGACGGACTGTTCGAAGCCAACAGACTTGTGGAGGTGTCCGTGACAAAGCTTGGCTGTCTACACAAGGGTGGCGAACTACCTCTCAGACAGACTCTCATGATCTCTAAAGTGTTGAACAAGGCGCAGAACATTGCTACCTCGGCTACCTACTCTCTCCTCCACTCGGCCTCCTTACAGACCCCGACCCGGCGCAGCACTTCCTCGAAGCTCCTGGCCAGTATCACCAAGAAAGTTGAGACGTCGTCTAGTTCTTGCTTCGAAGACGATCCCCATCCCCAGCCAGTGCCCACGGCGTCTGTCAGAACGACGCCCAAGGCATCAGCCAGAGAACTAAGCCCCATAGTATCCACCTCTAATGTATCCCGGGTGGAGAGCTTCGGGGAAGAAAGTATGGACTTCGAGAGCGTCAACTCAGTTCTGAGTAACATTCTCTCAGACTCTGACACGGCGCCGTCTGGCAAACACAACCACCATAACTTGAACAAGACCTGGACTTCGCCTCTATCTCCCTCGAGACCCAGTCGGTTCCTCTCGGACCTATCTAACAGCAGCAGTAATGGCGGCGGCGGCAGCGGCGGGGAATGGAGCGCCTGGAGATTCGACATGAACGCAGAGTTCGACAACACCTGGCGCTGGACGTCAGACTCTCGCTCCGCGGAGGACGAGAGCGGCAGCGCTCCGCTGTCTCCGGGGAAGCGGCACCACCAAGAGGCCTTTCCGCACGACGAGAAAGAGAACTCGCTCCTTTGCGAGGGCCTTCTCTACGAGGACACGAAGCGGTTCAAGTCTTCGCCTCCGGAAGGGTGTCCGCTAGAAAGCCTCCCTGGATTCTGCGGCTACCTCTCACCCAGGAATCTACAATCCGCCCCTCTCATCACGTATATGTTTGGCAAGGGATTCACAGAACCCAGTAACCCCTCCACTACCGACTGGCCGTCGTCTTTCTCGCCGCCGCGTCCCGCCGACGAACATCCTCAACCGCGGAGAGCGGTGGCGGCGAAAGACGGCGAAGAAAAGCCAGTCTACCACGCCGATAATCACTTCGCCGCTCACTTTCAGGCACCAGCCGTGAAGTTCAGCCCAATCTTGGCCTTCTAAACTACAAAAGCCAGCCAGCCTCGCTCCTATCACTTGTCCACTGCCAACTCATCTTTTTCCTCTGTATGCGTGCCTATAGTCTGTGTTTTTAATCTGCCTTCTCTTCTCTCCCATCCCTCTGTAATCAACCCCCTTCTTCCTTCCTTTTCCTCTTCTCAATGAATAGACAGGTCCATGCTCATCTTCATCTGTAAATCCCTTATTCTCTCTCCTCTGTGTGTTTCTCTATGTGTATATATGTCTCTAAATTATCATTGCCAAAAAGATAAAAATTTGTGAATTTCATACTGGCAAAGTGAAGCAACCATGAAACAGTGATAAATCCACACAGTAAGTACAAGGCCAGTTTGAATAGGTGGGCACTATATAGAATACTCAGATTTGGCCCTCAAAACTGAGAATTGTTCCAAATGGGAAGTGTTGGATAACAGGGAACTTGCCCAGGACCTGCATGTTTGTGTGTGTGGGTGGGGAGAGAGAGCAGGGAAATAAATTTTTGTGATAATTATATACAACACTTGTTTAGAGCTCAGTTTACCATCTGTGAATAGCACACAAGTTGTTCAGAGAGTCTTGATAATCTACAGCTAGGCTGAACACCTTTTCATCCGGCTCATTGACACCTTCTCCCAACCACAACAAGGGAGCACTGACTCAGCACTGATAATCAGTAACCTCAAAACTGTGAATACCTAAATCCCTCCCCCCTGTCCACAGTTCTGAGAGTAGCATGCCTGTTACCAGTAGCAACAGGCATATGCATGGCCAGGGAGGTCAACCATGATCTCACACCAGGGCTACACCCACCTGTAGCTACCAAAACAGGATATTGAAAGAAGGAAAGAACCTTACATAATGGGACATTCACTCTCTACAAATTGGTCAGTCAGGGCAAAACCCCCACACACCTCACTGCTGGCTATAAAAGTACATTGTATGGGTTGTCATTTGTAAAAAAAAGAAGGTTTCTTACTCAAACCATTTTCTTGTCAAACTCACCTCTGCTTTGTACATCTTGATGAGGCCAGAATTAACCTTTGTCCATTCTGCCACAGAGCTGATACCCCAGAGAGAATTAGAGTGTTCGGCAAACGGTCCGGTTTTCACCTGAAAAATCGGTGAAAAGTAGCAAAAACAACACAGAGAGTACGTAAAATAATGTTGATATAACTGGGGTAAAACTGAAAAAAGAACTACTGCATGTTACACCAACATTGCAGGGGTTGATGTACATATGAGGAAAACAGCATTTCGAAAACAAACATCCTTAAAAACAGTTCCCTTGCACATGACGCAATTCAGTACAAACCTGTATTGTTTCTGTTAATGTTTTTTTTATTCTCCATTGATACAATAGTAATGTGTGCATAAGGGAAGACTCCTTTTCAAGCAAAGGGTATGAAGGAGTGGGTGGGCCTATGGGCGAGCCAACACTCTCACAAAACACCGGAAATTGACACTAAGAGTCGGTCTCGACGTGATGTAGTTACGTTTGGCACCCAAACTGCCGGGAGGGTTTTCAGGTTGGCACGCTGCTTCATGCAGGGGACTCCAATCACATGACATTTTACACGCGCAGGTTGAAGTCTAGCGCCGCACCTGCATCCACTGTACGACAGCTGTTAGTACACGTTGAGAGTGATGCAAGTTAATCCAGGCCATTCCTAAAGCTCCCCACCCAGGAAAATGCGAGGGATTTGGACGCTGAACAATTACGTATACACCAATTCCACATACTGTCTATGTGTGTGGCGGCGTCCGACGCTTAGTTACGTACAAAATGCCATTTCACCAACACAAACCACTATGTGACTACCACACACACACGTACAAACTGACTCAAAAACATCGTGTGTCCCACTTTTGAAATCTACCTCCACAAAGTCTGTAGCCTCAGTGACTTGTCTTGCGTGTGGCCCAATGAAACTGTATAACCCTCGTCCATATGCTCTACCCTTCTCACATGATGCACACTGCACACCTGATTACACTTTCTTAATCTTATCACCTCCCGCCACATGGCCAGGGGGGATAGCCAAAACTGGGCACGACTGACTGATTACATCTTTCGTTAGCTAACGTTTCAGCATAATTATTATACCGTAAGTGGATAAACGTACTACGACTAAATTCCGCGAAAACTTGTAAATGCGTAAATATTTTCGTAAGAGCTGCCAAATCAATGTGATGACTCGACACGTAACTTAGGGGCAGAAGCACACACAATGGGCCATGACCAGTATATACAGTACGCACACCTGAGTATATAGTATGTACTGCTTGAAGAAGTATAAGTGAGTGCCGGTCATTGTGTGTGTGGCAAAACACCGTGTAGGTTGACACATTGCGATACATTACTTGGCTCCAAGTATGGTAAAAAAGAGACTGCTGGGAACATGCCCTGCATAGTTGCCTGGTATAGCTTCACCGTACATTGGACATCAGTACATGACACAGCCTGGTACAGGAAAATTATATGTGGACTCCTACAAAATGTGATAGGTATATACCTAAGCAAACATAGGTAAAAAGAGTGCAGATTACAGTGTTTCTGTGAAGTGGGAAAAAAACAGGTTTGAACAGGTTTGTGGCTAGAGTACTACAAAGAAGTGCAGTAGTACAGGAAGTGTGGGTGAGTGGGAGGGATAGGAATTACATTCCTGGACACTTTAGCAACAGGGAATTCTTACTACAACTCAAGCACTGCTCAGCACACCTGTTGTGGGTGACTCATACCTGGTACAATACAGGCTCTTCCAACCCCCCATATAATATACAAATATCTATCTCATAATACCTAGAGGAACCAGATATTATGGAAAATATATAGAGTTGACCAGTTAAAACACAGGAAGCATCATGACCTTAATCATAGCATGGCATTTGCAAATCAATGGAAGGATATACCAAACTAGGATCTAATTTACCCAGAAATGGAGTAATAAGCAAGACTTGCCAATAGTTACTACTGGGAAGTGACAGCTGCCCTTCTCCCAGAAGGAAGGACATTCTTCAGTGAGGACCTCAGTGAGGACCTCAGTCCCAAGTGCATAACAAAGACACCATACTTATCTCAATGGCATATATCAACCCACAGAAATGAACTGCATACCTTCCAATCTACTAGTGATGATAATAACATAATTGCCACTATACCCCACCCCTGTGAGCATAACAGTGGAGGCAAAAAACAAACTTCAAGATAAGTGGCCAGAGTGGAATAAAGGTTTCCAGGGACAATAGTGGGTGGGCTCCAATTAGAAACCATTGCAACTGAAGCCTCACTGTTAACACCAGTCACGTAATCTCCACAGGCAGAGACAACTACATCACCATCACTACTCTTTGACAGTGGAAGCTGTTGGGGAAACAGTAGCTCCTCAAGTACCATACACTGTCCTTTACTCAGGCTCACATACAGGAACCAGTGTTGGCCCCTTTACTTCACCCTGTGTGTAGGAGTAACTTCTCCTGAAATTCAGTTTCTACCAGTTCCCACACTCTCCCTGAAGACTACAGGAAAGGCAGCCCCAGTGTGGTTTTGTTGCCACAACAGGGAAAACACTGTGTGTGTGTGTGTGGCTCTGTAAAGACAAAGCTGGAAGATGTAAGGGTGGTAGCCCAGGGGACAAAAGGGTACAGTAAAACAACAGGAAAACAAGTGAACAAGCTTTATCTACATCATCTGGTCTCAGTTGCAGACAACTAGTCACCAATGGGGTTTGGGCTACAAGTCTAGGAGGAAAGATGGTAGCCCCCCACTAGTAAACCCTCAATTAGCCTGAAAAAAAAACCAGCCAGGCCTCTACCAACAACCCTAGAGTGTGGCCACAACATACCCAACCACCTATTAGAGAGGGAAGCTAGAGTAACTAGACACATAGGCAGACATCTAGGAGCCCACCTTCCGCCCACTGCAACACCGCAACATGAATACATACCTACCAAATCCCTCCTCTCAGGGAGCAAAGCAGGATGTAGCAATACACACGTGAATAAGCCCAGCGTGTCTAGCTGTACCATGCAACCTATTGAGACCTTGCAGTAGTTTGTAAACACAGGAAGGGCGTAACTCTACTGCTGTAACATGTACGCTTCACTGCACAACCCAATGCACCTGGTGCAGTGGTAATACACACACTACCTTGTAAAAGGGTATGTGTATTGTGTGTTGAGTGAATGATGAAACCTAATTAGAACACATACAGTAAGCCCAATGGGATAACTGCACTGTGGGATAAAACCGCAGTCGAGCGAATATGGACAAAATTGGCATTACGAACGAAACGATCAAAGGACGCCGAACACACATGACCTAGCGGTCTCACCTACGCCCCCTGCACAGGGCGCCTGCCCACCTCTCTAGCTGACGGCTGCGTCGGCCAGATTTCATGACCAACCTCAGAACACAGGGCCAAGTATGCACGATTGTACTTCAATAGAGCGTGGGAAATGCTTCCACCAATGGCACGTCACACGGTACACCCAAAGACATGCAGCAGCATGGTTACTGAGCTAGACTTGTGGTAAAGAACTGTCCACACAACCTTCCATCACAAAACACACGCGTGCAATAGAAGAGTTGTTTCTTCATATTCGTAGAAAGAAGTCTGATACATATGTAAGTAAAACTTCAACAGATGCAAGTGTGTATAAGTATACAGGAGTACACCAGTGGTGGTGTAAGTATGTACTGGTAAGCAACTACATGTACATAATACTCACACATGCCCAAAAAAGGTTTACCATTATCCAGCGGAATTCAATATGTCTCTGGGCAATAACAACTACCAGCATGTTCACACAGAGGACATACCCAACTGAACAATGGGCCACTACAAAGAGACTTACTGGCATAGTACAGTGGCCATGTGACCTAATCAGATGGTCCTTATACCAACACAACACAGTTCCAGCTATTTAATATGCACAGGACTTAGAGTAGATAGTGTGTACATCTATTCTATGCTGTGTACTAAGGCTGGTACTCTGACAGATGTGCTGAAATATTAGTATGTAGGTACGTAGCTCTGTGTGTGTGGTTGGTTTTAGTTTTGTGAATGCCTCATTGATAGAGAAGTATGTGTTGACTACTGCTTCCGAATCTCAAGCTTAGAATTGGAAAATGTTGAACCTTTGGGTATAGGTTCACCGCTTACCAGGCTCACTGGCTACGAATCACATGCCGGTTCATAATTGTATAGACACCTAATACGCATAGTAGATACACAGATTGAAAACAGGAGAGCAAATTGAATCTCAATCCTCTTCATTACACGCATTAATTATTACCAGGACCTCAGTGTATGTATGGGCCAGTTGTATACTAGCTAATGTGACAGACTGTCTTGAATTTCAATACCATTCTCAAGACATTCTTCACACCACACCTCCACACTCCGCCCTGCCACCCACTAAACTAATACAGCCCATCAGTATGCATACAGTATGTATACTTTGGGCATGGTGGCTACCTTACCATTATGTACGTATGTATATATACCGTCGTCCCTAAGTTCTCCCCCAGGTACATGTAGTGTTACTGCGGTGATGACTGTGCTAGGGGTCAAAGGTGAGGTGACGAAATAGCACTCGTAGCAAGAGACCACACAAGCCCTATATTGTCGCGAAGTACGAGTGTGCTCCCTCGTTTGATGCACAGCTATGATTTATTTCATAAGCACATTAGACAGGTAATACCATCCACTCGGTTTTCAGTTGTGACTGCATTGTGAGCCTGGGGGAAGGCTAACACTAACTTTGCATTTCTCAGACTCTCTCACAGCGAGTGCCATTTCATCAAGTCATACCTTTGACCCTTGTAGCCATTCTGAAGTCCTGTTTTCTTTCTTTCTCTACGTAAGTATATATATAGATTGAGCTGTTCAGTTTTCACGAGACTTGGTAACACTCCTCCCTGGGGAAACGCCTGAGTAGGAGGCTACGCAGGTTGCGGAAATGGTGAGGCTACAGGCAAATGGAGGAAAAGTCTCTCATTCTAAGCTGGATGTTCTGAGGCATTAGTCACACAATAGAGATCCCATTGTGTGTATGTACACACCCCTATATATACAGACTGCAGAATTGTGAGCTTTATTTTCGTCACACAAAACAATGCAGTAAGTTCTAACATCCTCATTGCTTTAGAAATCTCATATGAGTACTAATGACAGGGGTAACCCCACACTTTTACGTCTTTTATACGTAAGCACCCTACAGATTTTTTTTATCAGTGTGGCATGCACTAATAAACACTTGAGCAGGAAATAGCGTGGGTGAGAGGTGGAGTATTTCGTCACACCCAGTACAGTAAGTACGCCATACGAGCTATGAAAACACAGGATGTGATGAGGTGGCATGTGCAAGGGCCGTGAATAGGCACTATAGCAACTCAATAGCCACAATGTGTACTCACTCACACACGCCCTATTGAACACAGTACTCCTATTACGGTAACACCTCGCTCCCTTACACACGAAACATTCGCTGACGTCCATACAGTATCTGTGGGCAAAATGTACAACGAAAAGCAGTTCCTTTGAGCTTATGTCATCATGAAACTGTGGCATTTTACAGGAATTTGTTCAAATCCTCCCTAAAAAAGTAGTACGTTCTGTATTCACCTAGCCTTGAGCAAAGGCCACATATCAATCCGACAAGAGCCCCAAGATCATGAGTTATACAACCGCATAACTTTAGCAAAGAAAAAATATTCTTACCACTTTTTTTGGAGGGATTTTGTGAAAAGCTGGTTTAACGTGATTTGAAAAAGCTTTTTGTTGTACGAAATTTGGTTCTTAATACCTTGTTGATGTATGCAACGCAGCTCATGAACATGTAGTCAGAGGCGTTTTGGTTGACGAGTGTCTCCTCGACAAATGACAGTGGAGTTAGTTCAGTCTGACCTGGGGATTTACATAGTATATAGCACGTATTATGATACATTCAGTAGAAACCATTGAAACAGAACAGAAATAAATGCACGTGGAGCACTATGCTTTCCGTATCATGTAAGATGCAGAGGTAAGCTACGAGGACAGCCAAACCAAAGGCACTTGTTTAGCTCTAATTCAATCCTGCTAATTAGGCATCTTTTTCCGGTCAGTTAGCGATGGGATTACGTACACAATGTGCCACCTACGTAATAATTTGCAGTGTTCCCAGCCTAATTGGGGGCACTTTCGAACCTAATTAGGCACCTGATATGAAAGTGTGGGCTAAGTTAACAAGATAACCACAGCCGTAACGGGTGCATGCAAATGTACCTACACGCCATGTACATGTATTATATAACATAATATTACAGCATCTGCGATTATGTCACGTGTATGTATGTACTATGTATCCAATGGCGAGCGTGTATTTGTGTTTAACCTCATGTACACCGTACAGTGTTACGCAATAGTGTGCTTGTATTTGTGTTATAAACACGTACATATGTACAGTGTGTATGCGAAAGTGTACGTGTATGTGTATGTATGTGTATGTACAGTATGTATGTGCAATGTATGTGTGTACGTACATATGTAAGAAGAGTGCGATAAACGTCGAGGTGGGAATTGAAGAGCGTGTGATCGCTGGTCCCAGTGGGATTTGTGGGGCACAGAACGCTAGCCAACTCAAATCCCTGGCGCGGTACATCTGAGGGTGGCCGCATGCCCATCTACCTCCCCTCCCACATAATGACACTGCTCAGTGGATCCTAACGTCTCCCTTATACAGCGATCTACTGGATGATCATGCCAACACAATCTCACTACATTATACCACGTATTACATACTTAGTGCCGTGTAAGTTGCGCAATATGTTTGTTAAGGCAAACGTAGGAGTGTATCGGTGATTTATGCACGTGTATGGTCTACAATAGTAGACACGGGCAGAGTTAGCATATGGCTTCACGTGGAAGAAGCCGCATGTATGCAGTATAGTAAATGCACACCGCTGTGCCTTAGGATAAAGTGTGTGGTCTGAGGCACAGCCAGATGGAGAGGAAATAATAATTATCCAGTGTGGTTTGGTGTAGAGTACTGACTACGCCACCAAATCCTTGGTGACAGCCGTACATGTGTGCGGCGGTTAAACAGGATTGCAACCAGTAGTAAGTAAGCAACACCTCCAAAGGCAACCTACAGGCATTACACGCAATCATTCGGACAGATGTGCAAACATCTCGTGGTTTATTTTGCGTACACACAGTTTAGCTTTCTCTTTCCACATTCACAACCACGTGGTCTTAGTACATATGCGCCGTGGCATACAGCTCTATACGGCACAGCGTTTGTTTGGCATGTGAGAGAGTATATTCAGTGTGTGTGCAGAACAAACGTAAAACAGTGTGTGTTTGGGAAATGGAAACTGCTCCATGTCAATGGTACAGTGTTTGTAAGTCTCTATAACGGTATTACGCAACACTGTGCTTGGGAAATGAAGACCGTTCCAAGTCGTGACTGAAAAAGAGGTCGGCGAATTTTCAAACAGCTATGGGGAACAAATGTGTCTCGCTCCATTGTTCTCTTCATTAGTGAATCAATGGAGACACTGCGTCATTCCTGGTAGCCGGCCAAGAGCTACATGCCAGCCTCAAAACCACCAAACCATGTTCCCAAATCTTTAACCCACGGACTCTTCCGTCTCTCCAATTAATGCACACTTGTATACCTACAGTATGTATAATTATTCTGAGGAATAGGGGGTTGGAGGTACAACCAAATCGAAGTGGCAGTAGCGACAGGAAATGATCCATCTTTTATGGCACTTTTGAGGCAGAGAGAGAGAGAGAGAGAGAGAGAGAGGAGGGTGCATAGAGGAAAGAGATTAGGGGTAAGAACCACGCGATCTGAAACTATCTGTGTTTACTACGAAAACACGCGCGGATTCCCAGAGATTGCTGCGTGTGGTGGTATGAAATGTCACATGCCCCGGTCCCACATCAACACATCCTGTACATTGAGAAGAACACACTAAAACACAAAGAGATCTAGTACAAAACACTCTGCATACTATCAAACTCCGATGTGTTAATTAGCGTGCGTCCATAATGGAGGGGTGTGGTCCTCGTGTTACCATGGCTGTATATAGAGAGGCTGAAAGGAGTGTAGAGGCTCGCTCTGTCTACTGTCGTATGTCATAGTGCTCCTTGTGTAACCACGGGTCGTCGGTCACCATGAGTTCAAACTGTTTACCTCATATGAGATTTCTAAAGCAAAGATGATCTCGGTAATACACATTATTATTGTGTCCTCGGAATTCTGAGAACGAAACTCTTCTCCAATGAAAAACTCTTCTGTGTAGTGAGTGGGTAAAACTTTCATAGCCCCATACATCTATGATGCTAGTTACCATGCCCATCCCTATATACCGTACTTGGTGATTACTTCTTACAAACCACAATACAAAGGGCCTACCGATGAGCTGAGCTGATCCCCAGATGAAGGGGAGGAACTGGAAGTCGTCCAGCCCCCAGACTCCGTGGCTACCGGCCGGCTCCATCCGATACACCGTCTGAAGCTTTCTCATCAGATCCAGATACCTGAGGAAGTGAGAGTCCAGTTTATGTGTGAGGAGAGAATGGCCATCACAAAGACAGCATTCTAGAAAAAACTTGAATGAAATGGCATTTTTGGCGAGTGAACGCAAGTTGTAAAAATCACAAAAGTGTGCATTACAGCATTCAATGCAGAGCATTATGTAACTACTTTGGGTCAGTGTTTGGCTAAAGTTACTTAGCAACCTCAAGCAACAGACCATTAACAGTGGTTGCTAAGTATTATACAGCAAGCTCCTTCACACACATGTTTGTTGCTTAGTAACTTCCACCAAACTCTAACATTTTGTATACACATACTCATAATAGTTTGCACACAAACAGAAGTTATTTCTACTAAATAGAAGGGGTCGAAAATTCGAATTGGGGAAAAACCAGCAATAACCAGCCAGATATGTTTACACCCGACTAAGGCCCACGGCCAAAGTAATCCACGACCAAAAAAGAGTAATCCACGACCAAAAATGGTAAACAGAGGGCGCTACTACTACAATAGTGAGTGACCTCACTTTCCACAGAAGGCTGTGTGGGCTGCAGGACACACACATGACTGTGATATCAGGCAGGAAACACTCGCAGTACAGTAAGTGGATGCAGTATGTGTAGCAGTACAGTATATAGTACAGTACATATGATATGTAGTAGGTGGATGTAGTATGTGTAGCAATGCGTGTGATCACACCTGGCTAACATGGGCGTGTGTGTGCATATTATGAAGGAAGAGGGGTGACTATATGGGATGTGCAATACAGGATGTGATAGAGGTCAGTAGGGGAAGTGATTAACATGCAGTTAGAAGGGTAGAGGGCATGGGGGGAGGACAAGAGTGGGAAGAGAGTCTTTGATAGGAAAAGCAGACGAAAGGAAATAGAGAGGAAGAGATAAGGGGGAGAGAGAGAGAGAGAAGAAAGGGAGGAGAGAATGGGAGAAGAGGAGAAAGAGAGGGGGAAAGAGAGAGAGAAGAGGAGAAAGAGAGAGAGAGAAGAGGAGGAGAAAGAGAGGGGGAAAGAGAAGAGAAGAGTTAAGAAAAGAGACTACCTTCTGATGACGTGGAGTACGAGTGCGGCGGCGCAGTCCTGCGGGATGACCTTCATCTTCATCAGGCAGCAGAGGAATGCAGCAAACTTCATTTCGTGACCAGTACCGTAGTCGATTCTAATGGCGTTCCCAAACCCCTCTATAATAGACAACAAACAGTCAGACACACACTCAACAACTTCAGACAGGTAACAGAACAAAACCCTCTACAACGCTCAATCCCTCAAGTAGAAAGTAAATTTTGAAACACAGAGTATACCCAAAAATGGAGTGTACATGTAGTTCCTGTTTCCACCAGTCGAACAGAAAACTAGCAAGATAAGTTTATTCAGTTTGCTATGTAGGATGAATGCAACGGGAGCTAAACTAAATGGTAACTGAAGGGAGATACTGTGGGTGTGGAAGTTGTGATGACGTACGTAATAGGTAGGGCTGCAGCTCCTCGACCGCTCCATGCAGGTCTGCTGGTAGTAGTGACTTTATAACTTCTTCTGAAGACTGGAAACAGAGGGTGGAGGGAGGAGGAAGAGAGGTGGAGGGAGGAAGGAGGAGAGAGGTGGAGGGAGGAGGGAGGGAGGAAGAGAGGTGGAGGGAGGAAGAGATGTGGAGGGAGGAGGGAGAGTGGAGAGAGGAATAGAGGTGGGGGGAGGAAGAGAGAGAGCAATAGAGAAAAGGGGGGAGGGAGGGAAAGAGGTTTAGGGAGAATATAATGGCTTAACCCAACCAGGAAATTGGCAGTTTGGCAGTCACCATCACACTTTCATCCCCCCTATAACTTACCCACCAAGCATCACACATCACCAACATTTAACCTTGCATTAACCTTTACACTCTAAATTAAAGGCTGTCAATATTTTTTTAGCTACACAGCAATATAAAATTCCGGACATGAGAAAAAAATCCGAGAAATGGTGGCATATTACTCACGTCTCTAACTCTATCGGACCACAGGCGGTAAGCCTTGTTGCCGAACCGCTCCGGCTGCTCGAGGGGCGGAGTTTCATCAATGAACTTCATGTACATGTCCAACACACCAGTCAACTTATCGATGATCTACAAACATAGAGACGAGAGAGGCAAACACGGCAAATGGAAAGTGAAACCCAAACACTGCTGAATCTCTGTGTAAACAACGGAATCTGATGCAATAACATCGCACTACGAACTCATCGTAAAGGCGCTGCAAATATGGAATGGTAGCTGCCACGCCCACATACTTACCAGAGTGTTGTAACTGAATCATTGTTCTTCTTTCCTTTGACGGCCTCGTTGAGAATGTAGATAAACCCGGTAAAGTCCTGGTAGGCCTGTAAGGAGGAAATAAAATCAGCCGAGGTGTCGTTATTAGGCTAGCGGTGGGCTCTATTTGGGGTATGTATCAAAGCGTTCCCGAGCCTCTCGGGAGCCAATTACCGTCTCACTTGCGACTTTTTCCAAGTTTCCAGGTCCGCGGTGTCTTTTACCAGTCGCTCTGGGACGCGAAACTCATGTACTGGCCGGTCCTCCGCAGCCATCTTTCTCTCCCGACACTAGCAAAACTGAGAGTACGTCACTGGTTACGTACTTCGTGCGCATGCGCATAACCTCAAATAGGTAAACTACAAATGCAAAGTGTCTTATATTACGGTAATATTCTTTTGTGTTCTTCTGAAAACTAGCAGCTATATTGTATGTATACACATAATGACACTGAACAGTGCAGCAGGTCCAATTATTGAAGGAGGTACATTCTTGATTAGCAGCTGTCGTCTCCGTGGCAACAGTCAGGTGCTGACGAGTGGCCTCAGCTTCTTCAGTTGCCCGAGAAACGAATTTGGAGTGAGCACATGCGTTGCTCCTGCAATAACAGAGAAATTAAACAATCAAAAAAGGCTTTGCAGGAATGTAAATTTTTTGTCAAGAACATGAAGACTAGCAATGGGAGTGTGGAGAGGGTTAAAGATTGGCAATGGGAGTGTGGATAGGGTTAAAAGACTGGCAATAGGAGTGTGCAGAGGGTTAAACACTGGCAATGAGAGTATGGAGAGGGTTTAAAGACTGTAGAGGGTTTAATGGGAGTGGTGAGAGGGGTAAGCTCACCAATGATGACCTCGCAGTCAGAGGTGGTCTTGGAGATCTCGTAGATGGCCCTCATCTCAGAGTAGGTCATCCCTCCCACAATGAATATCATTATGGTTGGCCCCGCCTTCTTGGCTGCCTGGGACTGTGGGGGACGTTTGTACACAAGGATAAGGGTGAAGTAAGAGCCTTCTCTAGTGAGTTCTGAAATCTGATTGGTCAATCAGAGGAATACTATTTCACTTTCATTTCAGGGTTGTAGGAAACTGGATTTAAGATTTAGGCGTTAGGCGTGGTGGTACTGTAGCACCATAGATGTGTGGGGCTATGATATTTGTATACATAGTGTTCCTCGTTAGTACTTCTGCCTCTACTTAGTCCAGAGATCGTACCTCCTTGTCAACCCCTCCGCCCCTCTGGGTGGGGATCCAGTTCCACCGCTGACGGACGCTGGTCGTGGTGATCCCAGCCGCCGAGCTGGCCGAGGTCCCGGAGCTCCACCCACTGGCACTGCTGGAACTTGAACGAGGCTTCCGGATGAAGGGGGCATAGCTCTCGTCCAGTCGGCCATTGACTGCATGCTGTGGGGGGTGTGGGAGGGAGTCAAAAGAGAGGGAAAATAGAACAGAGAGAGGGGGGAGAGAACAAAGGAAGACGATGAAAGAAGCAACATGGCGTGAAATTCCGGGGGGAGAGAAATTCTCCATGTGGAAAACTTTTCTGAATGAAACAAACAACATGGCGTGAAATTCCGGGGGGAGAGAAATTCTCCACGTGTAAAATTTTAGATCTATTGTGACAGCCACCCACAAGTTCTTCCCATTTTTCACTATAAAATTTGCAAAAGTGTCCAAAGCTAACCTCGGCAACGTCCTTGACTAGTGGGACCCAGCGGGACAGCTCATAGTTTTCTCCCACTCGGTCGATACGCTTCAGCTTGTGCTTGGCCTCCTTCACACGTTCCTGGATCACGTGACGGTCACATGATGATCACATGACCCACGTGTATGCAGACAAACCTCAGTGATGATGGTAGTTCCAAAGTGCATCAGATTCATCAGAACAGCTCTGTGTTGAGGAACAAAGCATCACTATATGCCAGCAATGCACACAACGCATAACATAATTATTGTGGGATGTGGACTTGGATGATAAAGGTAAACAATAAGCTGCAGTGTGAACATTTGCACTGTGGAATCCTGTAAACTCGGTTTTTGGTTCGATTTTTTGATTTTCATTCAAGCAGGAGATCGTGAAGCACAATCTTAGCAGTAGCACTAAGTTTTTAAAACACGTCATAGGCATTGTATTGTACCTCTCAGGCCCTGGGATCTCCGAGTGCTGCATCAGCTTCATAAAGTCTTCCCGACTCACTCCTGACAATGTGTGGGTGGGATGTAGTTGGAATTATAACAAACCCTCAACTCTTTACTAACACCAAACACACACACACAGACACACACGCACACAGACACACACACACACACACACACAACAGTAATCTCTCTCTTCTACACACTATATCGTCTGACCTCCTTTGAAGATGATATAGAGCATCAGTAACCTCATCTTGTCGTACACTCTGCGATTAAAGACAGAGACAAGAATGTCACACACACACTGAAACCTCTTACAACAGGACACCTCGTAATAAAGGAAGTTTGTTTAAATCTGGTGCCAACTATATACTAGGAGAAAAGGACACTTATTAAACAGTGCTACACTGCTGAATAAAGGACAGTTGATCCAGTGCTATATAACTGTACACCTTAGTGCATTCCAAATAAAGAACACCTCTGTTCAAGTTTTCGATCTACATGTACTGTAGTGCTAAATTGTCAACTCCAAATGTTAATGTAGAGTACATATATCACGGTACCCATAATTGGTAGGTTCGACTGTATGTATGTGTAGGGACAATTATACACAGCTCACTGTATGTTCCTGTCAAAGAGGCAGGGCATCATATCTCTGAGAGGGTCGGTGACCGGGTCTCCCTGGGCATCCGTACCCATCGCCATGTCCTGTTCCACCTGGGTTCAGTATCACACACACACATACAACAGTCATACACACCATCAGTTGGTACAATAGTGGGGGAAAGAACAGGTCTTTACTGCGGAAATCTAACACTGCGAACGGCTAACCACACATTCACACTAGTACACGGATGCGTCCTCAACAAATTCCAAGTCAAATCAAACAAAAACAAAACCCCACTTTTTCTTGTGTAAAAACAGTTTGTGCTAACAAATTAATGCCTCCGTTTATTTAATGGGGATCACTTTGGTAAAGTTATACACACTTAATAAAATTATATTGAGTAAAAGGTGCAGGGAAGTATATATACGCACCTTGCAGAGTTTGTTGATTCCTCCACGGAACTTCCGGAGACAACTGTCAACCAGATGGATGTGGAGAGAATACTGCAGCAGAGAGAGAGAGAGAGAGAGAGGGAGATGGAGAAAGGAGAGCAGAGGTGGGTTCATGATATGTGTATGAGGTTCAAACAGCAAGCTACTCACTCCACTCAGCTCCTTCTGGTACTGAGGAACTTGCTTGATATGGCGAGCCAGGTCCTTGATGGAAATCTGCAGCAAGAAATGGTGATCAAAATAAGGAGAAGGGGAGGAAAGGAGAGGGAGGGTAAGAGGGGATAGGAAGTGTGTTGTGTGAGACTGACATCAGGATCTCCAGCATGTTTCAGCTTCTTCTTGGTAGCAAACTGCTGAAACTGCTCTGACACTTCTCTGGAGAGAGAGAGAGCAGAGAGGGGGGAGGGGGGAGGAGGAATTTCACACGATGACGAGAGTTGTTCATGCCAACTGACTTTGAGACATCTGCAATGTGCTGATGCCGCAGTCGTACCCAAATGGCATCGTTCTCTGCAGCAAAGAGAGACAGACATGGAAAAAATCACAGAGGCGTAGGGGGAGAGGGGAAAGAAGAAGGTGTGTGTGTGTGAGGTGGACCAACCATCAAGAATCGCATCTTTCTTTTTCTGGTCTCCAGCCATTGTAGTAGCACTGAACCTGTGAAAACACAAGCAAATACTACATATATACACATACAGTGAAACCTCTGAATAAGGGACACCTGGAGGACATCGAAAGTGTCCTATATTCAGAGGTGTCCCACATTCAGAGGTGGTGTCCCATATTCAGAGGTAGTGTAATGTATTAGTAACAGAGCTAAACCCTCGTTTGAATAAGTGCCCTTTATAGAGAGAGTCCTTTGTTGGAGGTTCTATATACCATTACATTTCACACGGCCCACTCTACAGGGGGGGACAAAGCTCACGAGTATACGTCGCTCTTGATGGACAGGAGGTCGTAAACCATGGCCTGGTACGTCAGCTCATGGATGAGGGGTGTGGTCACGTCAAACCCTCGGTCCAGAATAATGAGCTGGGACTTTGCTTTCTCCGGAGCCTGTAACAAACCAACATTGGCATCGTGTGACTACTAAACCGATCTTTTGGTGAGCGCACACGTGTGTGAACCATCAGCAGCTTTACGTGCATTTAGAGCATTACGGGATATACACTTACGTAGTGAATAGTATCTATGATTACGGTATTGGCAGTGCCGTCCATGAACAAATCGGACGACTAGCGTGGGCTCGCTTCACTAACCAAACACCATCACGAACACAGAGTAAAAGCCATTAGCGAAGATCTCCAGCCAAGATCTCTCATTAGTAATGCTGGAAAGACGTAGTTCACTCCCACATGAGGCGGACACTCACGCTGCCAAGTTCTCTCTTCTCGGCTTTGTAGGCGTCCAGTCTGTTCTGTAGGGCCTCGGCTATTTCTGCTGTCCTGCTCACCTCACTAATACACACACACACACAGACCAGTATAAAAATCACTTATACTCTCCTCCACATTCCCTCTGGTCACACCTACTCCACTACTGCACATAGAAGAAGGACAAATCTTGGCCAAAATAATGCACAAGTATTCACCTTTTAAAGGCAATGTTACAGTATAATGCAAGGGCTAAATTAGAAACTGTTACTAAAATGGTATTTCACTGGGCCCTATTGTTTAGTTCTATCTTTAGTAACATTTCCTAAATTTAGCCCGTATTGACTGACACGTTCCCTTCAACTCCCCCTCCCCCCTTTTTCTGCCCCTCTCCCCTCTTCATCTACCTGTCTCTCATCCTTTTCCCCTCTTCGCTCCCAGTCTCCTCCTCCTTCCCCCTCTCCCACCCTCCCTCCCCTCTCCCCCTCCTCCTACTCACCTGCGATATCGGACGGAGGGGTACTCCCCCATCATGGCACACACGGTCGCCAACTGGTCGGCGATCCTCTCGCACACGTGTCCAGCGCTGACTCTGTCCCGTGAGTAGAAGTCTTCGAAAATGTCGGTGTAATCAAGAGTGAACACCTTGCTCTCGTACGGCAGAAAGGCCATGTTTGCCTCCTGCAGAGACACAATCCCTTCACAGGGGGAGAGAGAGAGGAGAGAGAGAAGTAACAGTGTTCTACAGTTTGAGTCAAAAAAGTGTTTTCCATTATCGTGTATTTTTAAACTATATATATGGTATACATAAATTTGAGTATTCTTGGATTATAACGCTTGCAATGAGTTGGACTCTGACCCAAGTTGCATGTGTGCGTTTTAGCTAATCACGTACTACAGTGGCGGACAGTGAGTGACTAGAGAACAAGGGAGCAAAGCTTTGCCTACAGCTGTAAACCATGGCGGGAGGACTGCCAACTCAGCAAAACGACGCTACAACGCTCACCAAGTGTGCAGTACACACAAACACTTGTGTGCGTGTGTAAGCAAACCAACCAATCAGATTGCGCCACGCAATACATACATACATACATACAGCAAAGTCGTTGGCTTAGAGTGGTATACTACATACATAAATAAAATTGGCAGTTTACTGCACCACAAAGTAGATAGAGATACACAGGAAAAGCTATACATTGCCTGGCTGCATGGTATGACAACAATTTGAACCCACTTTTAGCCGCCTTGCTCGAGCCAAGTTTAGAGAAGAGGCTAGTCGAGCACTCTGTGAGCAAAGGAGAGAGAGAGAGAGAGAGAGAGAAAGTGAACAGTGAAACCTCTGAGATACTTTGGGGACATCGAAAGTGTCCTTTATTAAGAGGTGTCCCTTATAGTAAAGAGACCCAATAGAGAGGTGTCCTTTATGGAGGGCACACTTGGAGTAAGTCTGGAGCGAAGTGTGGTTATGTGACTTACTCTCGAGGAAGAAGACGTGGGCAGTTTTGTAGGTGGGGGCCCCTTCGAAATCACCAATCAACTTGGCAACAGTCTGCGAGGGAGGGAGGACAGGGTTTTGGCATGAGTCAGAGAGTTATTATAGCTGGTATGGAGGAGAGCGAGAGAGTGAGGAGAAAGGGTGGAGAAAGGAGGGAGAGGAGGAGAAAGGAGGGAGAGGAGGGAGAGGAGGGGGAAGGAGGGAGAGGAGGGAGAGGAGGGGGAAGGAGGAAGAGGAGGTAGAGGAGGAGAAAGGAGGGAGAGGAAGGAGGAAGAGGAAGGAGGAAGAGGAGGTAGAGGAGGGGGAAGGAGGGAGAGGAGGGGAGGGTTTGTGAAGACCTTCTCAGACGGGACAAGGATGTAGATAGCCTCCATGTGAGCCAGTGGCTGACGAGACTTGTCCAGAGATTCAACAACTAGAGAGTGTGTGTGTGTGTGCGTACGTGTGCGTGTGTGCGTGCAAGTGTGTGTGAGGGTGGAGACAATGAGGCGGGACCTGCATGTGGTGATAGGGACCACTTACGAGTGACTCCTTTGGTCATGACGTCTTGCATCTTGCAACAGGCTGACATTATCCGAGTACTCAGATGGTCTAACACCAACACCTGTAAACCGGTACCACAATGCTTAGCTAGCACAACACCTGTACATTCATATCACATATACAACAGCGGCTAATGTATACAACAATTTATACGCATAATAATATTGTTAGCTAACAACGTGTGTATAGATAGTACTGAAACACAGTGTGTTGTTTATCGTGCATGCACGCAAACAACTATTGCATAGCCCACCTTGCAAGCACCATTCCTTGTCGCTAATGCAACAGTAACAGTTACTGTATACTGAGTCAGTACATGTATAGTATAGTAACAAACATGTTGAAGATTGTTATGTACGTTGTAGTGTATCTAGGCAACTCCATTCTTCAGTAGAACAGACGCCAACCAAGACACTACTAATTGGACCAGACAATATTAGTGAGGTGTTCTCATTTCCAGGGTTTAATTTGCATGTAAGAAACTGTTCTTGGGGAAAGAAAAGGTGTCCTTTACTCATTTGGGGGGTGTCCTTCGAGCGGGCTTCCATTATAGGGCAAGCAAACTACAATACACACAGAAGGCCCAGACAACAGGCCAACTGCAACTCTAACACAGTTTTGCTTATGGCAAACTGAAAGTTAAACCTTACAACCTGTTACAGCTGTGAGTTGGGTATCTAGCTGGAGGGAACAACACCAGGAAAGACAAGGATATCAAATGGAGGAAGGAATCGCCTTATCTTGTCAACAAATTACTACCACCAAGCAAGACACTAGGCAAACAACCATTACCATAATCACGACACATGAATACAGGTACACTTGGGAATTATGGTAAAATTGCTCCCGCCGTTCTTCCCACATGGCTACAGCTCATACAGCTGGCATGCAGAGCAACCGACTGTAGATACATACACCAACCCCCCACACATGTTCCATTATGTACACATCACCGCCAGCTACGTAACTCATACTGACCACACCCAAAGATTGAAGCTTGCATCTAGCAGGTCCTACCTAGTCATAATACAGACAGTACCAACATTGTATACATCCACAGTCAAGTTTTAGCTGTGCATTGCACGCAGACTCACCTTCCATTGCCCTGGCTTGCACACGGAGCCCAGAATGTCGTCCAGAAACCCTGCAGTGGTGAATAATGTGCTAGTTGCCGGAGAGAGACAACGAGCCTGGGGGAGGAGGGTCTTACGTTTAGCCACTATATCTTTCAGGGCCGCCATGACGGCTACGTCGAACAAGTCGCTTTCTCCTCTTCTCTTCTTTGCTAGCGCTCAAGCAAGCAATTGTCGCTGGTGAGTAGAAACGGAACGCTTGCAGAGTCGTGCGTTCCGTAATAATTATCGTTTCTCTATTTATGCGTGGGTCAGGGTGTGTTACCGAGAAATTTTTAACACAAACAACGAGACACCGAGAACAGTAATAATGTTCAAGCTACAGCAGAAGCGAAAGGAGGAAGCGGAGAAGAAGGCCCGCAGACCACCAATCCTCCGTCTCTGAGCAAACAAATGTCAGTCAGGAGCCGTTTCCTGACGCGAGAGGTCTCCGAGATCCAATCCTGCATGCCGAAGACGTGCTCCGTCAGTTTCGGTAACGTAGACGACTTGAGACGTTTCACTCTCTACATCTCCCCCGAGGAGGGCTACTGGAAAGGCGGGAAGTTCACATTTGAAATAGAGATCCCTCCCGAGTACAACATAAAGCCGCCCAAAGTAGTGTGTCTTACAAAACTATGGCACCCCAACATAACAGAAGAAGGGAAGATATGTCTGAGTATACTGCGAGAACACACTATGGACGGCACTGGCTGGCTGCCCACGCGGAGTCTCAAAGACGTGATTTGGGGACTGAATGCACTGTTTACCGACTTGTGTGATTTCGAGGACCCTCTGAATGTACCGGCAGCCGAACAGCACAACATTAATAGGAGGGCCTTCGAGAGGAAGGTCCGAGACTATGTCAGATCTTATGCTGTTGAGTAGTAGCTAAAAATTTTGTGTACAATTTGTGCGGTAGTGACGTCATGGACATGCGCAAAAGATCGTGTGGTTTTTGCCGCCAATTTTCGCAGGGGCTATTACATATTGATCTTCAGTGCCTGGCCGGCTGTCGGCGTCAAAGTTAGCTAGGTCCGTCCGTGCGTCTTCTGCATGCGGTCGCTGAGTGTAGTAAAGTCCAAAGATGCCCGGCTATAAGGGCGTTGTTACGGTGGGCAAGCCCAAGAAAGAGCTGCACTGCTCGCAGTGCTCGCTGCTTCTCCGCCGGGCCATGCAGACGGGAGAGGGCGACCGCATCTGCCACTCGTGTTGGCAGGAAAAGAAGAGAGGTGGCGTCTGGTTGGAAGTAAGCTGGACGATGAATGTTCCTGCCAATGAAATGCGAGAACGTTATCTATCTTTTTACAGTGCTATCCAGATCGTGCTGCTGACAGGGAAGTACAGTTGCTTGAGGTCTTCTGCCCGAGGGAAGCAAACGGTTGTCTGTGGCAGGGTAAACTTGCAGATCTGGAGGTATTTATATAGGCTGGCAAGCAATGCTTATGTTACTGTTCATTTCCCAATCAATAGGAACATTTCCAAGAGTGTGGTGAAAAGCCAAACCCGGAGGTACCAAATTTGAATTCATCCCTTCTCCTTTTGAATTCACCAGTTTCAGACCTGTCCAAATGAAGGATGTGGGGAGCTGGTACCCAGCTCAGAGATCAAGTACCACAGCAAGTGGTGCCCCTGCAAACACTGCAGAAGGAAAATGCTAGCAAACCAATCACAGGTGAGCCACGTTTATTCCTCTGGGACGTGTCCCTCCATCCAAGTTCTTATAGGCCCATCTCTCCAGTTGTGAAACTATGTCTATTCTAATGGAAAGATGTATAATAACGGGTAGGTAAGATAAGGGAATTCCCTGGGACTTCCCCTGGTACACCCCCTTTGATCAACTACAATGTTATTCATAACCTCTGTGGGATTTTAGAAATGCGAACTGTTTTTCTCTTACAGGTGGGAATAAGAAAGAGGAAGTCGGAAGCTTCCAGTGATGAAGTACATGTGCACCAAATCAAAACTGCACTTTCTCTATCTGGAAATGTGCTCAAAACCCAGAGAAAGCTCCGCACAAAGCTGCGAGAGGCGCTCCAGTTGTCTCAAATACAAGAGACCCACCCTGGGGAGCTTCTCCGAGTAAACAGGGAGATTCTGGCCTGTAGTCGGCAGCTGAGTCAGCACTCGTGCCTACTAGAGCAAAAGCTTAATGCCTTTGGAAGTGCCTGCTGCACCAATTTCTCCGAATTGTTGCAAATGAATAGGCGTCTAAAAGAGAAATTGAATGAGCAATCCCAGGTGCTGTTGCACGGGCCACAGCTTTCAGCCTACCAAGAAATGTTCACATATCTTGAAGAGTTAGAAAACACTCTTAAGGGACATATGATGAAATTTATACAATGGTTAAAGGCAACAGTGGCTGGCGTGTCAGCTATTCCACTGAATCACAACGGGTGGTGTAAAAGGCAGAAAGTCTGTAGAAATGAAGCCAAAGTTGAAGATCCATTTGGAGAGCAAGCTAGGGGTGCATGGGCATGCACCATTGAAGAAAAAGTTGAAAATCTGCAGCAGGAGCTAGAAAAGCAAGGAAAGAAAGTAGAAAAGCTTGAAGAAACAAATGAAATGCTGCGAAATCGTGTAGCAGAGCTGGAATTGCTGCAAAAGCCGCCTAATATTGTGCAAGGTAAGCAAACTAATGCTTAATGTGTATAAATAATACACAGTTTTTTTAGGCCAAGATGACGGAGACCCACAGATAACCCGGCATGTGTTCCACGACTGCTTTTACAAGATCATAAATGGATCGATGTGAAGGCAATGGTGCCTCAGCTAATGAAGCACAGAATCATCTCAGGTGAAGATGATGTCCACCGTGTTACGCAGGGTTCACCTGCGCAGAATGTAATAAATTTGTACTCAAAGCTTAGTCGGAGTAAAAATGGGTTCCAGATTTTCTATCGCTGTCTGAGAGAGTCTCAGGACGAGCATTTGGGGCATGAAGACGCCGCTGACGTCCTGAAGCAAACAGGTACATGCATTTCCATACGTACTCCTTTTATATAGCCACCTATATGTCAGACTGCCACATCTCCTCTGTTTACAGCAGCTCGAACAATTGAACCTGGTCGGAGTCAGTTGTCCCCCCAGTCCACTCGTTTGCTCTAACTGAGAAACAGTAAGATAGGTTTTTAGGTTCAGGTTTGTGTGATTATGAGGACCTTTTGCAGCTCAAAACAAAAAGTTGCAAGTTTGTGCTCCTGAGCTCTGATTTTCTCGTCTTCTGATGTTCACCCCCACTGTTTTGACAGTGCATCCACTTCTCTCTTGGATCACACCTTGTCTGCACTCCCTTTTGGATTTTTAACTGTAATAATAGCAAGCGACTTAGTTTTATAGAGGATTTATTCTGCATTTTAGTGTATGCTTCTCATTTTTTCCACGATAAAAAAGGGTTAGCAGTATTGGTCATAATTCGTAATTCCTGTTCAGCAAATCACACTATGAGCGAACGAGCGTCACACAGCTAGCCACAGCTGACCACGCATGCGCACGTGTACGAAATTACTACTACTACTACACTGCACTGCTAGCTGGATCGTCGCCTGTGTCGTTGGAAGAAAATGCCCGGCTATACGGGCGTTGTTCCAGTGGGGAAACCCAAACCAGAACTGTACTGCTCTCAGTGCTCGCTGCTACTCCGTGAGGCTATGCTGACGGAGGAAGGAGATCGTGTATGCAAATCCTGTTACGAGGAGTTGAAACGAGAACGCGTCTGGTGGAGCCTCGACTTGTCGGTACGTAACTTGTAGGGCGGTATGCGAAACTGGCTACGTTTACTACTGCAGTGCAAGCCAGACTCTGCCGTCGATGAAGAAATAGCGGTGCTCCAGGTGCACTGCTCAAATTCTTCAAAAGGCTGTCTGTGGAAGGGAGACCTGAAAGATATGGAGGTAAAAAAGGATTATAGCTAATAACATTTGAAGTAATGATTGGTGATTTGTGCAGGAGCATGTCTCGAGCTGCGAGTATCAGCCTAAGCCCTGCTCAAATAAGGGATGTGGACGTCTCATTTTGATGAAGGAGAAAGACTCTCACAATAAGACTTGTGTCTTCAGATCAGTGTCCTGCCAGAACTGCAAGCAAACTTTGATGGCTAATCAACTAGAGGTAATAGTATCCATAATAGTCAACAGATTATAAGTTTATAATGTTTGTAATTGTGTTTCAGGCCCACTACACACTCTGCCGTGCAAGGAGACAGGAGATATCTATAACCACTGACGAGAATAGTGTTGAATTTGCTCCCTTTCACATTGTCAAATTTGCCGAAAAACGACTTAGCCTTTCACCAGTCCAACCAAGACCTGCTATGAAACCTGGGCAAGTGCCTGGATTAAGTGACTTCATTCGTCAAGATTGTCTGCCTAATAGAGCGATAGTAAGCAAGCACTGTTGTGCAATGTTATGTAATAGTAAAACAATCACTTTCTTTCAGCCGTCCTGTATAGTGGGGCAGTACACATTGGGCTGTGAGAATCTTGTGCCATTGAAGAGTTATGATCTAGACCACCCCCAAGATACTCTATGCTCTACTGCACTGGTGGATTCCCTGGGACGTCCCCATGTAAGAACATTATTCATAGTGACTTTATTAGGAGTTGATTAATTGTGAATTTAGGAGTAAAATGTTGCTAGTCTTTGCACGTGTCTAACACATGACATTGTAGGACCCAATAAAATGTTACTCTCAGATTCTTAAGGGGTATATACTGACATGGCAAAAACCTATTTTCTAGATCTTCGGGTTTTGCCATGTTAGTCCCCCTTTAACATTATGTGTCGAAACGTAACGTAGCTATTACAGAGGCCATGATTATAGCATAGAGAATAGTGTCAGTGTGTTGATCTCCTTGTTTGTTGCCAATTATTATGATGACGGTATGCAGCAAGGCACTAGCACAGCATTGCATACAATATTATTTTAATTTTATAGGCACGGAAAAGGAAGTTGGAAGATTCCTGCAGCAAGAATAGTATGGTGGAGACGGTACAACCATTTGGACACAAGCAAACCAATGGGCGAATCAAAACCAGGACTCCAGATTTAACTGTAACGGGAAGACCTGAAATCTACACTCACAAAGCCATGTGTGAGGATCTTAAGTATTTACAAAACACTCTTCATCGCTGTACTTCAGTCGGTCCAGAGTTTAGTGGGCTTCACGTACCAGTGATTACGCCATCACCATCTGGCGCATCTTTCTCTAGTTGTCCAAGGTGGACAGAGCATAAGAGACAGAAATGCTTTAGTGAGGGTGATACGTCGGTCGTTGATTCATGGGCACGCAAAGTGAAGATTAAAGATAGAGTGATAGCTCTTGAGAAAGAGATAAGTAATCAGAGAAGTGAGCTACATCATCAGAGAAGTGAGCTACATCATCAGAGAAATAAGGCAGACCAGCTGGAGAAGACTTTATCAGAGCTTCAACATGCTATTGCAGGTAAGGACGACTTGAAATTTAAATGGTGTAGGTATAGAAGAGGTTGTGTGTTCTTCACATAGGCCAAGGAGATTTCGGTGCGCCGCCACAGATAACTAAGCGGGTGTACCACAAGTGCATTACTGACATCCAAGACTGGATTGATGTGGAGGGAATGCTGCCTCAACTCATGAAGCACAAAGTTATCAGCGGTCCAGATGATATGCATAGGATTACTCACGGCTCACCACACGACAAGTTGAACTATTTATACACAAAGCTTTGCAGGTGTAAGAATGGGTTCCATCTTTTCTATCGCTGCTTGAGAGAGAGTCAGAGCGATAACTTGGGGCACAGAGATGCTGCTGACAAGTTGGAAGAAACAGGTATATTATACATGTTTTAATTTAAACCCTTTGGGTGCCATGGGTATCTCCTTGAATAAGCAGAAATTGATGTATAAAGTATTAGCGCCTGGTATTATGCCCCCATATAAATCCTTAAGGACTTATGGAGGCACTTTTGTGTCCGTGGCTGGCTAAGTGTTAAAATCACTTCTCCATCTTTGTAGCTCGAAATATTGGAACCGGCCAAGCACATCAGTGCTCTCCGTGACGTAGTGGATCTCCCTGAGTGACCATCCCTCTAACACAAACCTCGCCTATTCGGACTTATAAACATCGGACCTGTAAGATGTATTTACAGGCTAGAATTGTAACTCCAAATGTCTTTATGCTTGCAGCAATATGTACATCCTGGACCTCCTACATACCACCCTGAGTTTGCTTACTGCATCTGTCTTCTCACCCACCATCATCTGTTCCACACTACAAGTCTATTGGTCATCAACGTCGTTTGGTTCTTACGTACTATCGTCATGGTCATCAATGTCGTTTGGTTCCTACGTACTATCGTCATGTTATGTAACCAAGCAGAGCTGAGCTGAATTATTTTACTTGTATTACACATCTCCTATATACCACCCTGAGCTTGCTTACACATCTGTCTTGCCACCGACTGTCCTCCACCTTCCGACTCCTCTGACACTGCAAGTCTATTGGTCATCAATATTATCGTCGTTTGCATGATTTAACCAAGTGCTGTATTATCTATATGCCTGTATGAAGAGTAGAATATACCATAGCACGTGAGTACTTTTTGTATAATTATAGCATAACCAAGTACTGTGTTATTATAATTGTATATATATGCGTAGAGTAGAGCATTATTTTGAATGTCATGCCATGAGAGCACAGTAATACTTTTTGTATATGCTTTGTAGCAGAGCTGAATTTTACTTTACTTGTTGATATATAAAAGTTATTAGCATGGCTGAGTTGGTTGTAAATATACATGTACGAAGGAGGATTAAAAGCGTAGACATTAACACCACGTGATTGTCAATGAATGTTTTACCAAAGTTGGCAGCTTCAGTTTTCTCCTAATATGGCAATTCCCGTCCAGCTGTTATATAACTAACGCCAATCACGGCACTGTAATCCCAGTTCACTCGTGAATCCAGGGAACTGGTTGAAATTCACACACTGCTTCAGTCGACACCCACTTGTTTATTTATGTACGTACATGCCATCCTTCCAACCAACGTACATTTGCACTGCCCACGGATGCTGCATAATAAGACCGAGACACTATATACGCATGCGTACTCTATACATCCTATAAATAAAATCGTATATTTTTAAGTAGCACAGAGAGCCCAGGTGGGGCCAGTCTAGCACTAGCCAAGTCTAATGGCAGCTGTATCGTATCTATTGAATGTGCTGAGACTCGTACTGTAAGAGAACAAGACCCTAGCTGGTAGAAGCCAGGGGCGACGCAAGCACTACTGGCGAGGTACCGGGGGTTACACATGTGCCAGAAAAATATTATAATAATTATGTGTAAAAGTATTAAATTATCGTAAAATGACAACAAAGAAAAGGTGATTGACATGCATAATAGCAGTTCTGCTTGTCTGATGACTGGAATCAAAAATGGCTGCACAGGTTTAGTAAAATCAGTGAAATGTGCTACAGAACTAAGACACAGAGACACACTATATACACACGCAGACACACACACACGTACACACAATGACGTCAATTTCCGCTACCACAGCATTGCTGCCGCGTCTGAACTCAGCGATGCGTAAAAATTAGGTAGACCGTCAGCCGGCATTAGATGGCCACTCCCATCAACCAATTCTTCCCCTCCCTCCTCCTCCTCCTCTTCCTCTCTCATCCCATTGTCCATGGCTTTAGTGTAGCTCTGTTGCAATGCATCACCCCCTCCGTAACTAGACAATATGCTGGGTGTGTAGTTACTCAGAGTGATGGTTGTGGTTTTGACGGAGGATGACTTGGAAGGGGTGTGGCCAGGCTGGGCGGAGTCTCGTGAGGGGGAATAGCGGTAATTGTCGGGGTCCGACTCGGGAGAACGGAGGGAGGGATGGAGACGCTGTGAGAGACCGTTCTGTTCGTCGGATCCGTCAGTGGCCTCTACTTGTTCCCTGGATTTCCAGAAGGAGAAGGAGAATCCCGTGGTGACCTCGTCGTTCTGAGTGTCATCGTAGTCGCTGTAGTCGTACTTGGGATAGTAGTGTTCGACTGTTAGATCAGTCTCACTGAATGCTACTCTTCGAAGAGGCTAAAGAAAGGCAGAAGAGGAAATGATGTCGTCCACATTGTATATACATAAGGAAAGGTGATTATAGGTCGTCCTTATCAATATTGCAGGTTCAGAGAGTTGGGCGTGCATGATTGTGTAATGTCGTAAATTAGCCATAAACAGCTAAGAATGAGGTTCACATTACACAACTCTCTACAACAACGCTGTAAAAACACTCCACGTGCCTTCACCTAAACCAATAAGGAAGTACAATGTTGTCCTGCCCCACTGTAGGAAACGGAAACCATGGGCCACGGGCGTGTGTAGTGGCATTAACTAACGCTCAAACCTGCACAATTGACCACGTTAGAGCAAGTCTGACTACGCGGAAACGAGGAAGAGAGAGACGGAGACAAGCTGTCGCTGTTTCCAGGACAGAGTCAGAGGCTTTGCCAAACTGTGGGCCGGCCTCAATGCAACTGGCCCGGCCTTTCATTGGATTAGCTCCCCCTCCAACCATGTTAGTGTGGAGACTATGGCGCCAGTATACAACGCTCCCCAGCCAGGCTCACAACACACGGGCCCTACTGTGTCAGTGGAGGATGGCATGAAACGTTTTTTTACACAGTGTGTGCAAGCATGAGGAAAATATTTCCTTTTGGGAACTGAAGTTGGTATGCAGTCTATTATACAATAAGTGGGTTAATTAAAGGGGCTTACTCTTTTCTTGTGTCGACCAGACATGACTAGAATGGAGGACGTCTTTCGAGCTCTCTGTGCCCCACCCTCTCCACTGGTAGATGTGGCAGAGGGGATGTCGGTAGTCGAAGAAGACGTAATCATCTGCGGAGGTCGTAACAAAACGACACCAGAACTCTCTCCTCCCTCTCCCTCTTCCTCTTCCTCCTCCTCGTCTGATGTGTTGTCTAGGTTTGTGATGCTATACTCTCCTTCTTCTTCATCGTCTTCGCCACTGCTGTCATCGCTGAGTGCATCGCCAGGCATGGTGTCTTCGCCTGGCGTCCAGGTGAAGGATTTTCTAGTAGTGTGTCCAGATGTTGAGACTGGGGGGATGCCGGCCGAGGAGGGAGGAGGGCGACTGGAGGTGGGGTGGTGAGGGAGTTGTGACGTAGATGAGGGAGAGGGGGAGCGTGACGTGATGGTGACTTTGGGGACGCTTGTGGAGGTGGGAGGAGGAGGTGGGGAGGGGGAGGATGGCTTGTTGAAGCGGCCGAGGAGTGACTTTATGTTTGTGTTTGTGTTGGTAGGCGGTTCCCTTTTCGGTTGCAGCTGCTTTCTTTTCGTGGAAAAAACCCCCCCCCCCAAAACTCATAAAGTCTCGTACAGTTGGTCCACCCTTTCTGCCTTCCCTGTCATCAATGCATGTTTCCAGGGGGGTAATACTTGCTGTCCGACCGCCTCACGAACGGGCATCCTGCCCTTGGCGAGTTCTGTATGATCAAGGGCCCAGTACCCCACTTTGTTGATTGGTCTTCAGGGACATGCCCGTTTGTCCCAACGGGACATCATCGACCTTGCAAGTGGTGTGTCCCCATGTCGTTTCGGCAATGTCGGCTCGTCCTCCTCCGAATTGTAGAGCCTGTTTTTTCCACCTGGGGAGCTTGCGAAAGCTTATCGTCTACTCCCTTCCTCTAGACACGTTTGCCCACTTCCTGGCACACCCTTCCCTGAGACGGGGGCGCTGGTGGGTCACGTCCGTTCTTTCCTGGATCACCTGACTTCTGGTGTTGGCACGTCGGCTCCGACCTTCCTCCGCGATTTGTACGACCTCTCGGGTGCCCCCGTCCGTTTCTGCCGTCTGCCCGAGACGAACATCCTCCCCTTGCTCGCTTGAGAGACAGACTTATGACAACGGTTTCGGTCTGGGGGTCGTTCACTTTTTCCCTGCAGCTGTCGGAGCCCACTGGTGCCATTCGCGATACGGAACTGGCTTCGTAAGGTCTTTCCTCTCTTTGGCTCGTCTGCTCGTCGGTGGGTGACAACCTCTCTCTCTCCATGACGAGTGCTCAGAGTCCCTACTCATACCGTGTGGTTTTTCGATCCGCTTCTCAGGGACTGGTCTCCACTTGGTCCCTCTTGCCTAATGCAGATGAGATTTACAACGGGAGATGTTTTTCCTTGCCAATCGCCGACATGCGGTTTCGGCTCTGAATTTCTTTTTCTTGGGGTCTGTTCGTTCCTGTCTGCGGTCTTTCCAGCGGCTGCTGTTACAATTTTTCACTGTGTTCATTCTTACTAGAGTCAGTGTGTTCCAGCTGGAGAGGGCGCCTTGCTCTGTAGCTCTGAAGTGGGCGGTTGGTCTCTGGTGTGCATGTGCGGCGTACTCCATCACGTGGCGATGTGTTCTATTCATCGCCAGCCCCGAGGCTGGTTCAGAGTTTTCCCCAAAGACACCACCATCTTGAGGCGGGGATTCCTTCTGGCCAGCCAGCGGTAGCAGACTCACCAGGAGCAGAAGTCAATGAGGAAGAAGTATCTGGAGATTTCGATCCTCCTGCTGCTCTCTCTTTCTCCTTCCTCCGCTCTAAAAGAGCCTTCTTCCAGGCAGGCATCTCCTTCGACTCCTGCGGCTGGTTCAGCTTCATGAAGCTGGAGACCACTTTCTTCCCGGACACGGCGGATGATTCGGACGAGGCGCGAGGTCTCTGCGTTGCGACGCTCAGTGCCGGCTGCGGAGCACGGGCGCTAGCGACCTTGGCTGCTACGGGCTCGTGGACTCCAGGCAGAGCTGTTACACTGCCTCGCCTTCCGTGAGCGGTCCACTGGTCTCGCTTAGTCCCCGCACTCGACGCCGACGTGGAAGAGGCGGTCGAGAAAAAATGGTGGGAGCTGTCGTGAGGCGGCGAGGTTGGAGAAATGGCTCTTCTCTCGCCAGAAGAAGAGGGGGGCGTTACCCTCCGGCTGCCTCCCTTGGCCGCCTTTTCTCGCTCCGGCTGCTGCTGAGCCTGCCGATTCTGGGACGAGTTGTTCTGTTGAACTGCGTTTCCCCCGTCTCCCGATCCTCCCGCGGCCTTCTCCCTCTCTAGTTGCTGCAGCCTCTCCCGTTCCCGCTTCTGGAAGAGGGCTCGTTTCCAGGGAGGGAGTGTGGCGAGGTAGGCCTCCTCTTCGGCCTGCTTCTTCTTCTCTTCGTCCTCCGCCTTCTTTCGGCGCTCTATAATCGGCCTTTTCCACGCTGGTACTGACATCTCGATCCCTGCCTTCTCTGCGGTTGAAGAGTGCGGCGAAACGATACAGGGCGCAGACACGCCTCCTTCAGGTATGTGTAAACAGGTGTCCCGGTCTTGTACAGGAACTGAAGCTACAACAAAAACGTACGGCTCGACGTTCAGTAGTAGTAAACATCCATTATACCGCGCCGCGCATTCTTCGACAAATTACCGACCTTTTCAGCACGCTACTTTGCAAAGAGCGCTGCACACAGCAAATGGGCAGTTACTTAAAATTCATTGGTTCAGATCACACACAACACCATGGCAACAACAGGGAGGAGGAGGAGGAGGAGGAGGAGAGAGATTTCCTGGGCATATTCATCTTACAGAACACAACACATTAAAGGTTAGAGAAAGGGTTACAAGTGGCTGCAAATAGTAGGGGACACTCTCACGAAATGTTAGTAATCACAGTTTCGGAAGTGGTCCCAACAAGAGGTGCTTGAGCTACGGTATCAGTTTCCATGAGTTCTTCTTGCTCCTCTGACACCCCTCCCGATTCCATCCCACCGTTATTACCAGGGGCAACCCCTCCAGCCTCCGTGGCTTGGGGGAGAGAGGGGGAGGAGAGGGTGGGAGACTGGGTGTCTGAAGACACTGGAGCAGCCTGCGCAGCAGCACCTACAGCTTTCTGCTTCCGTCTGTCAGCTGCTGCCACTTTCTTCCCTTTCTGGTCCTTCTTGTATGCTGGACAGCGGAATTGCATCACATCATGTGTATACAGACCTAGCCAAGTTTCTATCAACTCAGGGACATTAGTACATTATATCCAATAGCCTTTTAGGCCCCAGAAAGGCAGGGGCTCTGTATGATGGAATGTGGAATACTTCGAGCGCGGTTGGACCACACAGGCACTTGGTAATGATCAAAGCAATGCGACAGCTGCCACTCTGGCATACCTGTTCATTTCGTTGCAAATTCCACCGCCAATTAATGGGCAGGAGAAAAGTGGCACAAACACGTTCGTTATAGTAGCAACTAAGAAACACTTGCTGTTTCAGGATTTTTCTAAGCACACAGCACGTGAGCAGTTTCACAGAAAGTCAACTTTCAGACCGGCTGTTTACTGAAATTCTAGCAAGAGAGCATGATTAGAACGCAGAGCAACCCGCCGGTGCTATTAATAGTACGCACATAAAAGTGTGCAAAGGCGCTATACATGTTACTATACTCCCGCAACTAGAAGTACATACAGCTATATTTAGTACGGGATAAATATTCTGCCAGTTCTATGGGTGTCTATTGGTGTTATATACTCCCTCCGTGTTCTATCATGCACTCTTGTTCTAGGTCACCACCACTAGAAAATCTTCCAAGGGAGGCAAAAAGTGACTTAAAACAAAATGGGGGATTGGGTCAACGGGAGCAAAACGCCATTTCAGGAATGGGAAACTCTACACTACAGAAAGATATATCCATGTACAGCTGCTATACGCAGGGTTTTTGCTAGTTTAGTCTCACCTTCCAAGAAGGCCTTGAGATCAGGAACAAACTCCTCAAACTCCATATCCGTGAGCGCTGACAGCACGTCGGTCGCAGCCAGTGTCTTTCTCTTGGCTTGGAGAGCCAGGTTGTTTGAACTGCAATAACCGAGAATGGGGGGAATTTGAGGTTATGAAAGTAGGTAGGAGGCGTACCAGGCCGTGCAGTAAAGAATGAAGACGCTGGCGGCTTTTCCAATGGCTACCCTCGCCTCCTTGGACACGCTAACTCCATCTGGAAGCTGCAGAAAACGCCCAACACTTGATTTTGCAAAGAATAATCGATGAACTCACCGCATCTTTTATTATCCTCGCTACCACTGAAGCTGGAAGGCTCAAGTCTTCTGGTTTCTCGGCCATTTCGGCCCGCCAACCTCTGCGACTCTAATTGAAGCCTCCTATATTGCACGTGATTATCACGTGCCGTTTGTCAACGGATCGGAGGAGAAACACCGGCGAGAGCTAGAGAGAGACACTACAAGCGGTCCGCCGTCATGAGTAGCTCGGAGGAGGTGTCGTGGATATCTTGGTTCTGTTCCCTCAGAGGAAACGAGTTCTTCTGCGAGGTATGATCCAGGCACCGGGAACGAGGGCGCATTTATGTGTGTCGTTTTAGGGAGGATGGTAATAATCGTGATTAGTGGTGTTTTTGTGCCTAAAGGTGGACGAAGACTATGTACAGGACAAGTTCAACCTGACAGGACTGAACGAACAGGTCCCTCACTATCGACAAGCCCTCGACACCATCCTGGACCTGGAGCCAGGTCAGAACTATACCTTTCCTCTAAAACCCTTTGGACGCCATCCTTATTAATAAGCAGAAAATGATGCATTAAGTATTAGCGTTGAGTACTATAATCCCCCTTATGGACTTATGGTGGCTCTGGACACATTTATGTGTCCGCGACTGGTTACGTGTTAAAATTGACCCTTTTGTGGTATCAGGCCACCAGTCCGTGCTGTGTGTCTTATGTGTGTGTAATAGATGATGACTTGGAAGATAATCAGAGTGACCTCGTTGAGCAAGCCGCTGAGATGCTATATGGACTCATCCACGCACGCTACATCCTCACTAACAGAGGACTGGCTCAAATGGTGCGTGTTTCCGGGAGAGAGGGGGGGAGAGGAAGGATGAGAGGAAGAGGGGAGGAGGAGAGAGAAGAAGAGAAATAGAGAAGGGAGAGGGAGAGGGAGAGGGAGAAGAGAAATAGAGAAGGGAGGGAGAGGGAGGAAGAGAAATAGAGAAAGGAGAGGGAGAGGGGGAGGGAAATAGAAGGAGGGAGACGAGAGAAGAAGAAATAGAGAAGGAGATGGGAGAGGGAGAGGGAGAGAAGGAAGGGAAATAGAGAAGGGAGGGAGAGAGAAGAAGAGAAATAGAGAAGGGAGAGGGAGGGAGGAAGGGATAGAGCAAGGAGTTGAAGGGGAGAGAGGAAGGGAAAAGAGAAGGGCGAGAGAGAGAGGGGGAGGGAAATCGAGATGGGAGCAGAGCGAGGCAGCGGAATAGAGAAGGAGAGAGAGAGAAAGGGAATAGAGAAGGCAGAGAGGAGGGGGAATAGAAGGGAGAGAGAGAGGGAGGAAGGGAAATAGAGATGGGAGAGGGGGAGGGAGGAAGGGAAATAGAGAAGGGAGAGAGAGAGAAGGGAAATAGAGAAGGGAGAGGGAGGGGGGAGAAATAGAGAAGGGAGAGGGGGAGAGGAAGGGAAATAGAGAAGGGAGAGGGAGAGGGAGGAAGGGAAATAGAGATGGGAGAGGGGGAGGGAGGAAGGGAAATAGAGAAGAACTAGAAAGAGAGGATGTGTGATAAATTTCCTGCAGATCGAGAAGTATCAGAGAGGAGACTTTGGACACTGTTCCCGCGTCTTCTGTGAGAATCAGAGTGTCCTTCCCATAGGTATAAGAACCCCTCTTTCATCCTTTTGTTTCAAATCTTATTCACACTCTCTGTCTTTGTGGCGGAGATCTCATACTCATGGTTTGTGCATTTCGCAGAATCAAATTTCCCGTGCAACATTCGATCTCTTCCGTAAAGACAGAGAGAAAGAAACGAGAGTCGATTGAAATCCGCGGAACCACAATATTTTTCTATGCACAGAAAATGTGCTACATAATTATAGTGCAACCTCATGTAAAGGACTCTCTGAATAAAGAACACCTCTCTATAGAAGAGGCTTGTTTCGATCCGGTGCTAATACGATGCTAATACCCTCAATTGTATTATGACACGTCTGGATAGACATTCTTCGTGGCCTCAGCATGCCTTTATACAGAGATTCTACTGCGTATGTACATTGTGTAGGTCTGTCAGATGTGCCCGCAGAGTCAATGGTGAAGGTCTACTGCCCCAAGTGTGTGGACGTGTACACCCCGAAATCCTCACGACATCACCACATCGACGGAGTCTATTTTGGCACCGGGTTCCCTCACATGCTGTTCATGGTCCACCCGGAATTGAGGCCACCCAAACCATCCAACCAGTTTGTCCCTAGGTAGGTACATGTTCGTGTGTTTTAATGTGTCCGCAGGAGTGTGCCATGCACTGTGCAGTGCTATGTATGTAAGTACAATAAAGCCAACTTGATATCTAGACTGAAAAATTATACTGCGAAGAGCCTCCCACTTTCTCCTGGGTCTGTGAAATCTACGAGCTTTTGAATCCCGAGGGCCCTTTCGTTGTTGTGTTCTGAGAGCAGGAGGAGGGCCCGAGGGCTTCTAACGCTCGTAGATTAATCTACAGACGAGATGCAGAACTTAGTAGTACTGTAGGTACTCCAATTAATGCACACCTGTTTTATGCTTACGCGGGTTGCGCAGGGAGAGCGAGTTGCGAGATTTAGTCTATACGTTTTCCCGCACATTGGTGCGTACTTATTACTGGCGTATCGTACCCCAGCCAGCTCAAAAGTTTTGAGCAACCTCCCTCTCTCTCTGTACAGACTGTATGGGTTCAAGATCCACCCAATGGCCTACCAGCTCCAACAGCAGGCAGCTGCCAAGAGTCGCTCCACCACCTCGCGCCAACGATCACAGAAGCAGAACTTCAAATAGAGCACACCATGCATGCAAACAACTATACGTAACCTGTGATTTGTATAATATATTATTATGTTTCTGTGCATGATAACAATGGAATGTGCCTCGATGATGATTTCTTATGTAGAAGTCCGCTGATCAGTCAGCGGAACACTAAATGAAATAGCGTTCCTCTGATTGACCAATCGGATTCAGAACTCACTAGAGCCTGGCTCTAAGTAGTTAGGCGACGAGTCATAGGAAACCAGGAGGCCGAGGCACTGGGTCCGTGGTGTTCCGAGGACACTACTACAGTGCCTCGAGGCTTCCTAAATCATGTGGCTTCCATCCTACTATAATAATATACTGTGGACTATCTTTCTCCTAGTTAACCAATCAGATTTGAGTATTTTAAACGGTACTCTAACGTACTTAAAAACTGCATACTGTATAATTGTACTGTATCTTTGAAGAATCTCAAAATTATTGGCATTATGAGCTTAGTGTCATAGAGTGTGACATTAATTTTGCACGCATACAGAGGTATATTATAAACTATTATAGTAAGACAGCGGTCCTTTGAAGTTGGGTATATGATATTTCAAAATTCCATGTCTTATTATACAAAGATGGGCAGACAAGAACAACTGATATAGAGTACATGTATGTGAGACAATGAGGTGATTTCTTCTGAAGACACACTAAAAAATTGACTAGGTGAAGGACAAAAATTTGACTTTTGTTTTTTGAGAAGTAGTGGACCGACATCACGCTATGTACATGACATATAATTATATACAATGGTAAAAACAACATTGAGAAAAACTATAAGTTTTGGTGATAAACATGGTGGTAGGGCTATTACGGAGCGACTTCGACTCTGTCTACAAGGGCACTTAGCAGCATGTCGAACCTTCTCCTCCTCTCAATCTGATCCTCCGATGTAACCCCAATCGAGCGCATGTAGCTTCGCGTGAAATCCTGCGAGAAAAAGTCCATCAGTTTCACGTTGTACTGCAGCGGCTCGAGACGTTTCCGGGCGTTGTACGAGAAACGCGAGGCGTGTTTAATGATGGTGTGGATCCCGTCTAGACCAACTAAGAGGTTAGTGTGCTGTCCGATGAGGGTGTGGTCTTCGGTAGAAGAGGACGAGAGGGCGTAGCCGGGTAGGGTGGTCTCCTCGAAGTGGAAGGCAGTTCGGAGGTGCTGGATGGCAGGGATGGAGATTTGGTCCGTGGCGTACATGGTGACGCCCTGACTGAGGCTGGTGAGGATGTCCTGCAGCTGTTTGTGGGTCTGGCTGGACTCCGGGAACATGGAGCGGAACTGCTGCCATGTTTGAGTCATGCTCAGCACCTGGGAGAGGGAGGAGGAGAGAGGAGGAGAGAGGACGATAGTCAACCACTGTCACTATCATCGTGTCCCTTCAGAGTTCGAGGCATCAACATTTTGAAACATCAAGAAGTCATATTGTATATAGTGTGAATAAGACTTCACTGATAAATGTGTAAAAATTTCCTTGTGCTATATATCATACTAGAGATGCACTACTTTATCATTATTTCACCCCACCCACTATGGACATGCGCAGCTTCTGAGCCAGGCTCTAATGGTGGAAAGAGATTACAAAAACCCACTATGACGGCTACAATTTCTTGTCCTATGTGTATAAACCAGCACTTACTTGTGGGGAGGTAAGTCCCTGCATGATTGAGATAAACGAGAAGAGATTCCCGCAGCTCCCACTCTGGAGGATGAAGGCCAGCTCGACGAACCGGCGGAGCATGCGAGCTCTTTCGATGGTGTCGCCAGCGCTCACGATACTCAGAGACACCATGTGACACAGACTCTGGTGTCTGGAGGTACGGAGGAAGGAGGGGGAGAGGGGACACATTGATGGCTAATACGACATGCACTGATGAGGTTAAACCATCAATTGTCAAGTTTGGAGGAAGAATGAATAGTGGAACCTATTAATAGACACTCCTAACAAAAGACACTCTATAAAACACATTTGTCCTGATCTGGTAATAATCTGAATTTTTGTATAATTATATAAAGGTCGTAGTTACAGTGTGTATGTTTATTCAGAGGCTCCAATGTACTACATTTGTTGGTTGGTGTAAGTGTGTGTACATACCTGAAGAATAGTTTTTTCCATAGTTTCTCTCCATCGGTGTCAGCCAGAGTTTGGAGCCCCACGTAGAGCCCAGAGGATGATGTCGTCTTCTGCACCCTGTCATCAGTGATGAAGAGCACATGCTTAATACTGCTAACCAGGCATTATACTAGAACTAAGGTATATACACAGGGTATCCGCATTATAAGTACAGTCAACCAGACATTGCACTAAAGCTGGGGTAGTATACTTTTCTAGGAGCCTAGTACAGTATATATGTACAGCAGAGTGAAGGGCTCACCTCTCTTTCCATACTTCCTTGTCTTCTCCGGGCCTGGGGGTGAGCAGAAAAGCCACGGCGTCAGCTCTAGTGAGGTGGGAGGCCAGCTCCACGTCTGAGCTGCAACTGAGCATCTCGTGGAGAGAAACCAACATCTCGTAGCCGGGCAAGCTCTTGGGGACCCTATCGGGGGCCGATAGTCCTCCTCTTTTACCGACACTGTGTCCCTCGGTGGCTAGACCGCTGCGTGGTGCCTCGTGCGGCGCGTGGACTCGTCTGCGGGTGCGGTCAGGGAGCGAGTGCATCTTCCCGTCCGGTTGCTGTTGAGGATGTGCCGGGGTTTGATTTGGGGCGGCCTCCTCTGATATACCGTCCATAACGAGAGGGGAAGAGGTGTGTCTGGGGAGGGAGTGGGTGGAGTAGCGACTGGGGTAGGGGTGCGGTGAAGACTCCATCCGACTCAGTCTGGGGTGAGCGGTGGAGGAGGAGGAAGAGGAGGAGGGTGAGGGGGAAGATCGAGGAGGCGAGTCAGACTGAAGTCTCTGAGCCAGGACCTCTGCCCGTGATTGGTAGGGGCTCACTCGCGCCTGCTGGCCAGACGACTGGATTGTATCGTACAGGCTGAAGGGGTGGGGGGACACGCTCGGTTGGGAGTGTTGCTTGCGAGTGAAGCGGACCTCGGCGTACTTGACACCCGAGTGCTGGGGTCCAGAGTAAGTGTCGCGTCGCATTAGCTCGCGTGGTTTGTTAAGGTGTCGGATCTCTGCATACTTTACGTCGTCAGCCGGCGGAATGTTCCCCGGAGCAGGGGACGGGCTGCCGGAGTGGGGACACTCCTTTCGTTGAGTGGGCGGCGACCCGAGTAGAGACACGCTCTCCATCACTTCGTAGTCGCCGAAACTGTCTCGTTTCGAGTTTCTCACCCCTGCACTGCTGGTTCGTTTTATTATCCTCGAGTCTGTCATCGCTCGCGATCTCATCATTACGGGGGCTCCGCCAACACCGGGGGGAGGACTCACGGCGTTCCTCTGCACTGCAGCTGCATGTCCCACTCCGTCTGTTTTCAATGAGATCTCCACTGGAGTTGCTACACCTCGCGGCGAAATCTCGTCCGGGGCTCGGTCGCGCGGACGATGACGTCACGCTGGAGGCACCGGGACTCATCGACGTCGAGCGGAGAGGACGATGGTGCGGCACTCTTGCGACCTCTGACCTGGTGATGTTGTCGTCCCCCCGGGGGTACGAGGGGGAGGAATGTCCGCCGGTGTGCGGACCTCTCTCGGAGGGATGAGTGTGCTGTTGATAGTAACTGGCCGGAGCAAACGGGACTCGCGCACCTGGTCTGTGAATGGGTGTCATGAGGAGGTTGTGAGTGTCTCTATCAATTGGGATCTGGTATTTGAGGTGGTGGTAGATCAGCTCGGGGATGCTGTCAAAGGCGCCGCCGTCAAAGCTGTACTTGACCGTGGTACCGTTGCGACTGTTGACGACTTCATCACACTGGATGAGCGTGTGATCGCTCTGAGCGCGCCAGTGCATGCTGAGGGTGTACGTGTTGGCCACTGCCGTGTTCTCTCGCACAAGGAAGTCTCCCTCGTCTCGGAGGAGCGCCGAGGCGTCTTCGCGCGATAGCTTCCCGTGGAACCAAGGCTGGACCTCCAGCGGTAGGCTGGGGTTTTATGTCCACATCGTAGCCAAAGCTGAGCCCAGACTCCATCGATATGACGCTGAGGTGGTGCGACTTGTGATCCCGGACGAGGTATTACTGCGAGTGTCTTCGTCTGATGTGGTGGTGGTGTTGGTCGCCATGCTGTCGCGACGGGAAAACCCCTCGGGCAGGAGCCGGCGGAGAGGGATCTCGGTTGGCGTCGGCTGACACACCCCCACGGTGTAGACACGCCTACGGAACTGCTCCATTTCCTGGGGAGACGGGACATATTCATTTGGCACTGCCATGTGGCCGGAGTCTTGCAGTCCCCCAGTTCCTCGTAGTCGGGGATCGGGTAGCTTTTTGTGGGTGGGGGAGAAGTGGGCGTGGCATGGAGGTCGAGGGCAGAGGTCAAAGTGGGCGTGGTCACTGACATTGTCTCTCGTGACTTCTTGCTCTGGAGAGGAAGAGAGGGAGAGAGGGGGAGAGGGTAAGGTACAGCGGACATTACCCACTAGCCCATGACGTGCTCAATTCATGCTAACTAAGTAATCATAGTACAGTGTTACTTGATGACTTGGCCAATAGAAGCACAATTGATTCCACTCCAAATGAATAATGAATTGTCTGATTGATAAAGCCTACTACAGTAACCATATCCACCACAGCCTTTTAGTGGAACACAATGGAAAATCAGTGTAATGCGAAGCTAGACAGTGACCACTCTACAATGCAATACGTGCTCCAGGCACAGGTGTACTGAGGAAAGGTAGTTTGTCGTGAAGACCTCATGCCAGCAAATTTTCAGAGAGCGTTTCTCACCGTGTCGATAATTCCCCATGACTTACATCAATATCCCACATTACATACAGTAGTACCCACTGTGATGCTGAGAGAGCACAATACTAAAAACAAGCTGTTGCGAGTTAGCAAACGGGTCTCGCTAGAAATTGGCTCTAACTGACCGAGGAATGCTAGGAATGAGCGGGATTGGATGGGCGCCACATCCCAGTAAGTCGATCTGTTAACTTGATTATGGGTTGGCAGGAGTAGGCACGCATGCCTGGACCACAGCGTGCATTAATTGAAATAGTTCAGATAGAAAAAAAACGTCAGGGACAACTAAATCTAAAATGTAATCCAATCAAATCCCCGAACACTAATTGGACAGAGTAAGTGTCTGTAAAGGCGTCCCCTATTGCAAGAACAGTTCTTGGGGAAAGAAAACATTCTTTATAGAGGGGTTCCACTATTGTATGAAGACATGATAAAAATGTGTAATAATAATAGGTGTACGTGGACTATGGTACTACTGTTAGGATATTATATACCTTCTTAGATCCACCGCTTCCAAGTAGACCTTTGAGATTGAAGCTGTTGGGTAGAGAATGGAAGAAATATGGAAAGAGGGGAGAGAGCGAGGGAGAGAGAGAGAGAGAGAGAGAGAGAGAGGGAGAGGGAGAGAGAAGAGGGGGGAGGAAAAGAGTTAGTAACATCATCAATTGACATGTGCATCCATCTGTCGTGTCGGCCAACTATCGCATATGATGCCCGCTACACTATCCAGCAAAACGGAAACACGTAATCCTAAACTAGGAGAGCACACAGACAGACAGACAGACGTAACTATAGCGATGCATATTCATTCATGTGGACATGCAGACGGTGATAGGCTTGGAGAGAGGGAGGGAAGGAGGTAAGAAAACACTGACACTGGATCCTAAGTGGCTATATATCAGCTTTACGTCCCCCCCATACATTTCTAGATAACACACTGTCTAATGTCATAGTACTTTCTTCCATAGTCCAGTGTTAACGGAAAACATGTTAAATTTGTGTTCTCAAGTAGCCGCATGTGTGGGGGGGGTAGGGTTGCAACTGCTGAAGCAAAGGAAGGAGATACCCTTGTAGCCTTAGAAATTGTAGCTATCAGTCACAGCTATCACGTTGCTGTCGTTAGACGAATTATCCATTTCTGTTTTCGGGCAACCGACAGCATGTCTCAACAACTTGGTAGCGAGGTAGAAAGGCAAAGGCAAGGCAAACAAGTCAACTACACCCAGGACAGCTCTTTCCTTTCAAAGAAAAGAAGAAGAGCTGTCCTGGGTGGGATTCGAACCCACGACACTCCGCAGTCTAGGCGAGCGCTCTACCAACTGAGCTACCAGGGCAACCAGGGCATGAGCTAGTGGGCCAGTCTCTCTCCTTCTTTGGTGAAAGAAGCATACTAGCCAACATTGCCAGGGTCGGACGCTAATTGGCCCCCAAATACAGGGAATGGACTCTCATTAGAGGCGCTAATTGGGATAAATTGGAGGTACGATGATAGGCCACAGGTATGTAGCAGGTGGCGTGACAATGGCAGTGATCTCTGGCTCCATATTCTGCCGAGACTGTGACGAAGAATGCTGCTCTGCCGGTTGCCACGGTTTTTGGCGGGAGACGATTTTGATTTTCGTGAACTCTTGGGTGCGCCACACAAACAAAGATGTCGGTGTGTTTGGCAAAGGCTCAATACAGCAGGGCTATTATAGGAGCCGGAAGAAGAAAAGGGTTTTAAGTATGGCTATAGTTTGTAATAATTCTCTGTGCCAGTTTGAGAGGAAACTGGGTTGGTTAACCTTAATTGTCCTCACACTACCAATTGTTGACCTATGTATGAACCATCCACCTGGCACAGGAAATCAACCATGAGTATAGGTCATTAACCACTGAAAATGCTTTATTTCTACTCTGATTATCAGTGGACTGAACAATGCTTTCTGGTTAATTTTGTTAGCTGGAACAGGATTCTAACATCTGTGGTCACCTACAATTAACAGGAATACTCGTACAGAAGACATGATAACACAGTTGATCCCTGGACACTGCTACAGCATTCACACCACAAAACATGTGTAACATTGTAACCAGGAATGTTCCCATGTTTTCTGAGTTCCAATCACAACGCTTCGTGAGTACCAAACTCACAGGAAAAACACAACGTAACCTTCCCAATCCGCGAGGCATTCTTGGAGTTGTTAACTAAAACATTGTGGTTGTGTCAACTTTGGGATGTGTGGAGGAAGAAGGAATGCGGGAGAAATGGATTTGCAGGGGAATCCATAACAGCCGCAGCAAAATGTGCTAGAATGTGATACCACACACACGCAAACTTTCGCCACTGGAGATGGACCACCAGTAACAGAATTGTAGCAGCAGTGTATTAGAAGGATCAACTGGGTGCTATATTACATTGGCCGTTGGCTCTTCTTTTGTTTGCCAACATCTGCACTGCCTCACTCAATCCAGGCACACAGTTGAAACGGAACAAAGCCTCAGTTATGGTTTGTGATGTGCATCTGGATTTGGTGGCCAAGTTTGTGAGGCTACGAGCACGCAATGCAACTAACACAGATATAGGCTTTCTTTGCTGTATGTATATCTCAAGTGTCAGAATATGCCAGGGTGTATAAATACTCAGACGTAACTTTCTAAAGACAGTTCTATGTTTAGTGGCCAAGCGTGGGCTAGTGGGATATGAGAGATAGTCAGTGTGAGTGTGAGTGTGTGGCTCACTTTCTAAGGGAACTTCTTCTGGAGACAGATTTTGAGTCAGCAGTGGAGTGAGCTCTCACAAAAACTGTATGGAGGAGAGGAAGGAGGGAGAAGGGAGGGAGGGAGGGAGGGACAGAGGAGAGGAGGAAGGAAGATAGTGGGAGAGAGGGGTGGGAACAGGTGTATCACACAGAGACTCAAGCAACTGTGACTAACACATTCACCGCAGCAGTAAACTCCCCTGAACACGACGCACACCAAAAGGGGGCAGTTTGAGTACACACTCCACGCATAGAAGGGTAAGGAGGTGCCCTACTCCTCTTACATGTGTTTGAAGAGGTGTGACAGGGCAAGTGGAGGAGTCTACCAGAGCCTGCATTGCTGGCTATAAACACACATGCGACTGTACGTGATGTCGTACAGGCGTGCCTGCAGACATATAAACTAGTGTGCGCAGACTTGTGTGCCTCGCGCGCAAGTGGAAATCACTGAAGAGGAGTTGTGTGTACTTGGCCGAGTCGGTGCCGTACTCTCGTGTGTGGCATGGTTTGCAGCCGGCAGGAAGTCATGCTCCGTCTGCGCGCATGCGTAGAAGGGCATGAGGGACATACATATTATAGTTGACCTGTTGGGCTTTGCCTTGCCTTTCTACCTCGTTGTTGATCTTACATACTATACAGACCTGTACTGCAGAATTAAGGTGCCTGGCGCTAATGCGCTAGGCATTATATCTATTAGCGAGAGCTCCTCGTATTATGGACAGTGGGAGAGAGAGGGGATGGTGTTAGTTTTGTCACCTGGGCTGAGGGTTAGATTCGCTCTGATAGTTGAAGACGACGACGTCTGGGAGCGTTGTAGCTAGGCGAGACTGACCAGCAGACACAGAGCGGAGTCTGTGCTGTTGGGTGACACCAAGCTTCTCTTCATCGCTCTGGGTCTTTAGCTCCTACAAATCTCTAGTAGAGGCGTGAGAGAAGGAGGAGGGAAGTAGAGGTGGAGGAGACACGTGAGCATTTGCAGTGTAGCGCGCGCGAGACCCTCTTCCCCTTTGGCTTCTCCTTCCGTCCTTCTCTTTCTCCCCTTTCCGCCCGTCTCTCTCAGTCTCCCTACGACAGCCAAATGACTACAGTGGATGAGAAGGAAGAGAAGGAAGAGAGAGATAAGGGGCAGACAGTAGAGATAAGTTAGAAAGCAAAACTAATATGGATAAGTGGAGAAGGAAGAGAGGGGATAAGGGGAGACCGACCAGGGCAGGGACAGTAGAGATAAGTTAAACAATGTGAGAGACAGAAAAAAAAGGAAAACCCAAAGCTGGACAGGTTGGAAAACAAACATTTGAATGCCTCGACACAACAGCCACTCTGTTCATTGCAGTGAGAGAGTCATGTGGCCAGCGCAGGCCATCTACTACACTACAATCAGACAGGCGAGGAGCCCGCGAACGAATTCATTGCGCAATCACACGATCTTATCAAGAGCATATTCATTCGAACATGTGTGTACCATGAATATAATCCCGCCGACCTTGTTACACCCTTCAGGACGAGTCTCTAAAGAAAAACATTGTATATCGAAGAGAACTTGAAACTTTTTTGAAAACGGTAAAGTGTCTGGTATCTGGGTAGTGTGTGGGATTTTTGCGTGGCAACTATATAGTAGCAGAGAGGGGATTATTATTGGAGGAGACGTTATGATTTTTCGGCAAATGTCAGGCATGCTGTCTATACCACAGGACTGTGTTAATGGACTAATCCATTTGGCTGGGAAAGGCATTTCCTACTGCTCCTCGTGTTGTTTAACACTAGGAATCTCAGGAATGTCCGAATCATACCACACAGGGTACTGTGACTAGTAGCACCCTCTCGCTGTATATAATTATAAGTCACCCATCTTAATGCATTGATCTTAGATGGGTGCTATGTAACCGAGCTGTTTACGGGTTCAGATGCTGTGTGATGTATCAAAACTGGTGCACTGGAGTGTGTACTTTAGAGGCCACACAAGCTGTATATATAAGAGTCGGTCCATTCTGCAGTTCAACTTATAGCCTTTTATAGTAGTTCTATATACTAGTCTTCTACCGTAGTTTCTATATATAATCAGTCGGCTCCATTCTGCAGAATTCAAGCTATAGTCTGTCTATGACAGTGAGGTCTATAGTAGTAAAGTCTTCGCGTAGACCATGTCGTGCCAGTTCAACTTATAGTCTTCTACAGTAGTTCTATATATAATGAGGCGGGTCCAGTCTGCGTTCAAACTAATAGTCTCACTAACAGTAGTTCATATATAGAATAGTCGGTCCATTCGTGGCCATTTCGCGGTTATAGGTTCTACAGTATTTTTCTATAATCGTCGGCCATTCTGACAGTTCAACTTAATAGTCTTAACAGTAGTTCTATATATACTAGTCGTCATTCGGCAGTTCAAATTATAGTCTTCTACAGTAGTTCTATATTATAATAGCGGTCCCATTCTGCAGTTCAAACTTATAGTCTTTACAGTCGTCTTAATAATATATCGTCGGTCCATTCTGCAGTTCAACTTATAGTCTTCTACAGTAGTTCTATATATAATAGTCGGTCCATTCTGCAGTTCAACTTATAGTCTTCTACAGTAGTTCTATATATAATAGTCGGTCCATTCTGCAGTTCAACTTATAGTCTTCTACAGTAGTTCTATATATAATAGTGGTCCATTCGCCAGTTCAATTATAGTCTTCTACAGTAGTTCTATATATATAGGCCGCCATTCTGCCAGTTCAAATATAGTCTTCTACAGTAGTTCTATATATAAATAGTCGGTCCATTCTGTTTTACAGTTCAACTATCGGTTTCTACAGTAGTTTCTATATATAAAGTCGGTCCATTCATGCAGTTCAACTTTATAGTCTTATACAGTAGTTCCATATATAATAGTCGGTCATTCTGGCAGGTTCAGACTTATGTCTTAACAGTAGGGGTGTCTATATGATGAATAGTCGGTCCATTCGGAGAAGTGTCGACCCTTAGTAGTCTTCTACAGTAGTCTCATATACTAGTAGTCGGTCCATTCTGCAGTTCAACTTATAGTCTTCTACAGTAGTTCTATATATAATAGTCGGTCAAATTCTGCCAGTTCAACTTATAGTCTTTCTTACAGTAAGAACCTCCGAAACCAAAGGAAAAAACACGCTCTCAATAAAAGACATACCTTGAGGTCCACTTCTCTATTAAACGTTTAACCTCTAAAAGAGGACAACATCTCGAAAAAGCCAGGTCCTAATGTGTCCATTACACAGAGGTTCCACTGTATATATATATGTACCAGCAGTTTACAGTTACATCAGTGACTGCTCTTCATCATAGCCTTGTATGTCCAGAATGAGCAGTTCAGGAGGCCCACCAGCCAAGCAGCATTCATAATACAGCGGGTCATACATTATGAATCGTTGGCTCCAATACGTGAACAGTATAATGTCAGGTAGAGCTAATATAATACAGGTACTGATCAAAGAGCTCCCTAATTACTACTAATAAACTGGGCATTTCCAGGGGACGCACACCACACAATACCTTGGACCCTATCCTGCCTCTACCCTATAGTAGAGTATGTTCACATGTACGTTATAAGTAGACCGTAATGTAGGTTTACGCTAATGTCTGAAGACTGATGTGGAGTTACATTGTAATGTGTACGAGGACATGAGGTGTTGGCTGGGTCAGTGGACCTCATTAGGACATGGAACTATAATATTCTCTCTCCTTTAGTTTTGGCACTAGTTGCCCATAACACTGCCCCAGCACAGCTGTCTCCTCCTCTCCATGGTCATCACCAACACAACCAGCCTCTGGACCATATCAAACTCTAAGTCCGGTTATCCCAACTAAAAACGAATTTATCGAAGTGTTTTATCCTCATGTTTGTATGTATCTATTATTCTTTCAGGAAGTTAACTTAGGACATCTTGCCTGATCTTTGGGCTTGTCAAGGCTCATGACCAGCAAAATTAGTCAGCCAAGAGACCTTACTTCCTTATCAGAGAGAGAGCATGAGGGAGAGGAGAAGAGGAGTGAGAGGGGGTGGGGGTGGCTTACACACGCAACCTCAATCCAGCCTTGATGATCGTCCTGATTAGAACACCTCCACTTCAGCAGCCATGACAACCCAAACTATGCAGGTCCTGATTACAACACTTCACTCCAGCAGCCATGACAACCCAAACTATGCAGATACCGCAGCAAGTCCTCGCCAATCAGACCAGTAGAGTACCACAATGGATATCAGTTTTCTTTGTGTGCACACTTCACAATACCGGTCAACAGTCCCCTTTTTGAGGGCTGAGGGAGGTGGCCTGAGGGGGGTTGACATTGCTGACCCAACAAGCACGTGGAGCTTTGAAGATCCTGTCCCTGATCAAGGCAGAGTTAGGGTTGTGTGGGTGTCGTTACTGCTACAACATTTCCCCTCCTTGCACATGCACAAAAAGCCCAGTTAGTTTAAAATTTACATCATCCACCCAAATGCTAACTGCTAACCCATCACACAAGTGCCTGACACACATGGTCGCCCAGAATAAACATGTGTTTCCATTGTCATATTACACCCTTCCACACAACTGGTGCTAGGAGGCTGGGTAACAAGTAATGCTCTCACATGAGCCCCAGCAAGGAGTTAGCTATAACTGTATTGAAGGAGGTATGCAGTGGTTTCCAGGTAAGAATTGAGACAGTTGGGGGTGGTGTGCTGAGGACACAATGAGAAGAACATGCAAATAAGCCAATTTGGCAGTGCCGAGCTTTGCACATCTCCACACTGGGCACTTGTGACAGGGAAGGACATGTGTATATAGGTAAAATACTGTTGCTCTAATTAGCTAACTATGGCGCCTGATTTGACTTGCATCCATGATAAGTAGAGCTCATATCTATTGCTGCAATACTGATTTGTGTTCGGCTGCTATGCACACAGTCCTGCAGACCATGTATTACCACACCATACCTTTCCCTGACTTGAGATGCAAAACAGGGCTCCACGGCAGACTTATTATTCTAGGGGCGTATGGATTAGAGTGAGGGTGGGCTCCAGCGTTTTGCTTTCCCGGTGCCACTAGTGCATCTTCATTCATGGGTCATTAGCAAAGATCGTGTTTTCTCACACAATAGTCATAGCCACCAACAAAATCTACCTCGGGATTCATGGGCTGGTGAAACACCTAGAAATGCATTCTTCACCTTCAGTACATCACTGAAGAGCTTAAACGCCATGCTTCACTTTTTGTCTATTCTGGTACGCTCAGCTCAGTTTGCAAACAGAGCAGTCTCGGCATCCTGTGCCACCACTGTGTAGCAATCCATATCACTCACCCTTCAAGATCACTTGGCTCTCTTTGACCGTAACGTCAATCCATGTCTATGTCCAACTAAAAAAGGCACTAAGATACAAGACTCTGTGTAGTCAGACATGCATAACTTGATGTAGTTGTTCGGCAACCAATGTAATACTGCAGCTAACGGTGAAAAGCCAAGAGTCATGCGGACAGGAGAAAACGTTTCCAAAATAGAGTCTGGAGAGGTTCCAAGAATGTATCTAAAACACCACTTGCCATGAGCTGGTGCATGGAGCACTTCAACTGGACTTGCGGGCTGTGTGAGACCTGCCCCTACACTCAAACAACGAGTCCAGTGGCCAAAGAATTACAAAGCCCGTAGGAATCCGCTAATTGTAGCGCAGATGGAAATGTACTGCGACACTGACACTTCGAGTCACGTAGCCTGCCCAGCCCAGGAATGCCTGAGCCGAACGCCAAATGCACTGCTAGCTACTGTCAGTGCGGCGCTCGTTCCTTTGATACGCCCGCGCCATCAGTGTACACTACAACACTGCTGGATTTCCCTTCTTTGTCACCTAATGTACAGTAAATGCTGACTGCATGCAGCTATGTAGCTCTAAGAGCTACAATACAATAGGTAGCTGCATTTCGCTCACCTTCACGGTGTCAAAGTGCTCCAAGTTCTTCTTGTAACATTCCATGTGCAGCTCGGCCAGCCAGCGCGAGACTGACGTGGACTCAGGAGGCTCCAGTTTTGTAGTCATGACTACTACTGGCAAGCCGAGTGGGCAGCGAGAGCTGGCTGGGGGTTCGGCGGCTCCCGCAAATGAACGAGCGAGCGTCTACAGGTAACGCCTTGTACGGCAGGACTTGGACCTCGCACACCGGGTGCGCTGAGTAAGCTGGACCGGAGTTTGTTTGTTGGCGTCGTTCCTGGCAACCAGAAAACGAAGACTTCACAGTCGGGATTGGTGCCAAGTTGCGGCTCCTGACGGTAGAAACAACGGTCGCCTCGCACACGCCTCCTTCTCTCGATCTGCAGCAGCAGCGCGTGCACAACGGCTCTTCTCTGCAAAAAACGAGCTGCACAGCCAGCGAGAACCTCATTTTAGCGTAACACAAGCCCCGCCCCCCACGCTCGCACACCCCCGCGTAATTACGTCATACACGCGCAGGCGCACAAAGTTGTTCGTGTTGTGCAACGTATATAGTACAAAAAACAGGCGCCAAAAGTACCTATACAGCCTATTATTGTAATGCATGAATTTGAGTTCAGTCAATACATAAACCTGGTAGCTATAGATACAACATAACCCCCAACATAATCCGTGTCCCAATGCAAAAGTACAACAATAACAGCATGCAGATTAGAAGTATGTAGTGTTTAAAAAACTAAGATACTAATCGAAGGGGTTATCCACTGATATTGACGTAGGACTGGGGAACATAACCCTCTTCTTGTCCTTTCCTCACGCGCAGCCAACCATCTCCAAGGTCCTGTATTATCATCACTTTGTCGTTTGCACAAACTGTCAATTCGTCTTCCGTTTGTGCTAGAGTGGAGTGAAGGAGAGAGGGATAGGAGTGAAGTAGATACGAGACGATGAAGGACGGAGAGATGTAGGGAGAGAGAGAGAGGGAAGGAAGAGGAGAGAGGAGAGGCAGAAAGAGAGGAGAGATGAGTAAATGGGAGAGGAAGGAGAGGTTCAAAATTCAACTTGTTTCCACATTTCTCTTGCACGCACACACACACACACACACAGAGGGGACAGAGCTGCTGCTGACATACCGTGTTGACACAGCGGACCCAGTCAAAATGTACCCACACACCTGGTCCCCCATGCCACCCACCCCACACATTAGCAGAGGTATGCATGCAGACGTACTACACAGCCCTAGAAAAGGTTCGTCATCAATATGTGTGTGGCCCCCTTAGAGAGAGACACGGACTACTTCCTAATCCTGGTAAAGGACCCAGGGGACCATAATAAGGTCCAACATCTGGAGTGGATGGCAAGAGAGGCTGGGGTTGATTTAGCGTGACTTTTGATCACACATGGCTTGCACTCTCTGTGCGGCTGAAGATTGCATATACACACCGCCTAAATTGCAAGGTGACAGATGTGCATGTACATATATACAGTTACGATGTCCGCTCTGAGCAAACATGGGCTAATGCAGTGCAAACCGTTAAATGAATCACTTTGCAAACGGTGAGGTTTGTAGTGATTGGATTGCACAAGGTGAAAATTAAAACAGAAAACCTACTGTGTTTGAACCAAGTCGAAAGTGCAGGCCAGTTTCTAAACGAGAGGGAACAACAAACATGTTGTCGGAGTCTGAACCCTGTCTTTACGGACAGGAAGAAGGCAACGTTGCAGTAGACAAGAAGAGCGTCTCTAACTGTTAAAAGGCAGCTACCAGGGGAGGAAGATTCCGTCGAGATAGGTGGAAGCATTGGGTGGGAACGTTTCCAGGGTAAGTCAGGTTCGTTAGGGTTTAATCGGTAAAGGGACACACATTACTGGGAGAGGTCAGAGTGGAAAGTGTTTTTAAAATGGACCTCACAGATAGCCAGCGGAGTCGCTACGACTGGTCGTAGAGAAGTTACATTATCAATACTCCATGGGTAGCTATATAAAATGTACCTTAGGCATCAACTTACAAACCATCCTGTATTATATGTGCAGTACCTACCCTCCCCCTTGTAATCACATGGGACTCTATGGAAACGTGTCCACCATGCAAACACACGAACAACCCCACATATCTATTGCATGTTCTCAATCTATCAGGTTACAATATGTGTACATTACACTACTCAGAAAGACGCTAATGTCATCGCCCGCACCAGCCAAAAGCACTTAGTCTACAATTTGAACTACAGAAAAAATAATGTTTGCGACAGCTTTGGTGTAGTGTGTCGACTACAGTGGTGTCATTAGGTATATATGATTTCACGTGTGCAAAAATGGCTCGTGGATACTTTGACACATTACATAAATAATATATGGGTCTTGAGAGCTGCATTTTAGCACGCACACATAAAATCAGATTTCTGAAAGCCATCTACAGCTATGAAAACATTGACACTCTGTACTTGTTTACCTAAACATCAATTGCCTAGTACGACGACGTGCACCCAAAATATAAACTTGTTTCTGAAAACTTATGCACCCAATGCGTTCCCTTAAAAAGACAGATGCGGCGAATAAAAACGGGAGAAATCCGTGTTTGTGTGTGACAAGTGCCCATCGGCCTCGAAAGTAAGAGGAATGTTGCGGTATTTATGTAAGGGAACTAATATCGAATCCGACAGCACGACTGGCTGTTTATATATTGTCAGTCACCTATCTCGGTCATGTCTTTTTCACGGGCTTACGTGTGTAACACACTGTACCACAACTACACCACACTACAACTAAGTCGACCTCATATAACTCTGCTGTACTGTAAGTCCAGAGAGGATCAGCCACAAACATCCTGGGTCGCTACATTTACGGAGCGTGTGTGCGACTGTAGTGTGTTTGCTGACTTGGGAAGAAGAGCAGAGAGGTAAAGTGACTCGCGGCTAGAGGACTAAGCTAACGCTGAGCGAGGGCGGCGGCTTTGTGTCGGCGTCACCGCCGGCAGCCAGCAGGTGCTGTAAATAACATGTCCATGTAACATTATACGTAGTGCGTGTGTGCGTGCGCGTGGCAGTGTGTGTAGTGTGGTGTGTGGACGGTGTCACGTGTGTGTGGTGGTTGATCACAGTGGCATGCGTCTTGGTGTTGTGTGCTATGTGTGGGACACCAAAAAACGGAGAAGAGAGTACCCACAAGTGAGGAAACACTGAAACCCACATCAAGCCACACGTGCCCCCATAGCATGGGCAATATAGTCCATTCCTATCATACCTTACGATGGAGGCAACTAGAGTTGCCAGAAATAGCCTTTACCACCACTGATTCAACTCCCCCACCGTAGCTATGTAGATTACTCACGTGGCACGGATGAAGCTTGCATCACCCTGTCTGTTTGAAGCTACGTGTACGACACCTTTTGTTACGTTTATCATGCCACTTCCAAGGCCAGTGATGACACTAATTTTGAGTAAATGCCATATATGGTACAATCATTTGAAACCCGTTTTTAACACAGCTACATACCACACCGTTCTTAATGTTCAACTGCCACTTCCAAGGCCAGTGATGACACTTAGTTGAGTAATGTCACGGCACAATCACATGACATCATGGTTCTAAGCTACTGCAAACGGGCACCTCGTATCACATGGTTACAAGGACAGGCCGACAAAACACTACTACATAAGTTTTTTTAAAATGACATTTCTCTTTCTCTTTCTCCCTTCCACCTACACACCTGATAAATAGGTGGGGGCACCTTTACGCAGTTACCAAGACACTCCCCTGGATACCAGTCGACAACTAATGCTGTTTATCTTACCACAATTCCATTATAAACCTCAACACGCCACAAACTATTATAACACACTTTGAGATATGTATATACAATTTTTTGACTCGTACTGTACATGTAGGTATATACTTCCATGCCAAAAGAGAGTGGCCAAGGGAAAAATTTTGCGAGTGGCCCCAGGGAACTTTTTCCTGCTGTTTCATAATAAAGCCCACCACCAAACTAACACACACAAGCAATTTAACGGTTAACCCCTTGCAGCCATATGTATGTGGCTACAGGTTTCACCCAAGTTTAACTACACACCCAGGACAGTTCTTTCTTTTCAAAGACAGGAAGAAGAGCTGCCCTGGGTGGGATTCGAACCCACGACACTCTGCAGTCTAGGCGAGCGCTCTACAAACTGAGCTACCAGGGCAACTCAGCTGGTAGGGGTTCGAATCTACAACACAACACAACACAAAGGCACACCTTAAACCACTGTGCTATGGCACAGTATACTCTCACTCAGTATGCACACACAGACACAGTGCCAGATGCGTGACTTGCTGCACGACTAACTCGAACCCAAAAGGACTCCTAATTGTTGAAAGATGGAGACACTACAATGTTGCCAAACAGAGAGTCTGTCAAACGTTGCCGAGCGAGATGAAAAAGACTTCAGAAGAATCTTGGGGATCCGCAGATCACTCAACATTCCACCATGCCATGACTGAGAACAAGGAGTGATTTTACCTCGACAGGGCACGCATGGTGGCCAAACAAAGCCCCAATTAGAGGTGTCCCCCATACTTAACCTCATCAACTCGGTACAAAGAGGTAATTGGAGGAGGGTTCCTCTGTAGTTAGGAAGAACAATCTTCGCACTATTTCACAGTTTTGAACCCTCCTCCATAAGGTTTTCTAATCCGCAAAAGGTTTCCCCCACTTATTTTATGGGTTGGGACCTTTTTTTTACTGCAAGACCAGCAATCAACACTGCAGAATATTTTATAGGGATGGACAATCCGTAAAATTTGCATTCACAAAAAAATTGTCTGCATGAAAGTTGCGGATGGGGACATTTGGAAAAATGCGAAAAATATTTTTTTTATGCGAAATGCTTGTTCACTATCACTATAGTTCCCCTCCAATGATTCCTGCTATGGCATACAAAAGCAGGATGAAAACATTTCAACAATGTCTTTGAGCAGGTGGCTAGAGATAAAATCGAATTTACTGAGTACATTCCGCCAATTTCGCGAAAGATCCCAAGAGAGAACCGATCGGCGACCTCGCCACACCTGTCGTTGCGAGCCACTGGACCGTTTAATTCTCCGTCATTTTTCACACATTCACACACACGCTCGGGTGGATGATACATCTCTCTCTAAGGACACCCCTGAAATGAAGACCCTTCTCTAAGGACGCCCCTGAAATGAGGACCCCTCTCTAAGGACACCCCTGAAATGAGGACCCCTCTCTAAGGACACCCTCTGAAATGAGGACAACTCTCTAAGGACACCCTCTGAAATGAGGACAACTCTCCAAGGATAACACCCTTTTCAGAGCTAGCATTTGTGATGAACTGCAGATCACCCACGCAGAGATTCACACGTCGCGGTATTTTCGCAGCCTCTCAGTCAACAAGTTACAGAGCAGACACTCCCATGTTCGGGTAATGAGATAATGGGTTTGGACCACTTAGGGCGAGATGTACGACGGAATTCAAACAATTTGTTCGACCACGTGTGCCTACGGCTGTTTCTCTTCCATCCATTACTGCTACAGTCAGGATATAGTGCAGTTACGATGTACACCAGTGGTAAAGTTAACACACATCATGGATCAAGGTGTAGGTATGTATGTATGTCATGTATTAGGACCAATCTTTGCCAGACCATACACTCCATGTACAAAATACCAAAACCGCCCCCATAATTGGCGAGCGGGAGCGAGCTAACCTAGTGGTCCAAACGGCGCGATTTTTCTATATATATATATATATACAACCGTGTACGTCGTGTAAGTGCGCATGCTCCAGGATTACGCGCTTCTTTTTATCCAAAATGATTTCAAAATTTCACATGCTGCCTGATGTGTCGTGCGTGTGTGTAGCTCGCATCAGTCTTGAGAGGATGCCATTCGTCGTCGAAGAGAGAGGGAAAGAGAACATCGTGTCAGTGAGACTCCTGAGCAGGGAACGCGCATATTCTTTACACGCTGCCTAGCTGTCATATCGATGCGAAACCTCAGCGAAAGAACTCTCGTCTATTCGCTGGCATTCGCTGCGCTCTTCAATACCTGACCGAGGCTGTATAATACCTCTTTCCAATCTTCGTTGTTCTAAGGTTCAAGTTGTAAATAGGCTAGGATGGCTAATCCACATACAGTCATTGTGTGCTCGCTCCCGCTCGCCAAAAATGCCATGCATTCGCCTACTAGTACCATGCATTGTTAGCCCATTCGATATGTATGTAGATACTATAGGAGAAAATGTGAACTGCCACATTCCCTTTAATAAAAAATGTCGTGGTGTATATGGTACAGTCGACGATGTATTGCACATGCTCTGTGTAGGATTCCATGCATTCTTGGTCTCTCCAACTTTAGAGCCAAGTAATTTAAATCGCGCAATCTGATTGGTTCGTGAGCGGACTCTAATTCGCGTAGAGTCCATGCATTCTTCGTCTCTCCAACTATAAATCAGCAAGGCCTTAAGTGTTGTGTGGAAGCTTCAAGGATCGACTGAAAGTTGCAGAGTGTGAGAACCACTTAAATGTTATTGGTCCACTATAACCCTTTCCTTTATTACTTCCTGTGAACACACCTTGGGAAATATTTCCTCCTCTAATATTCCTCCCACCACACGGTATATATATAAAACATTGATTTCCTCGCTGAAACACGCAGATATACAAAGCATATTTTCCCCCCCGGTAAACAACGGTTCAGTGAAAGACGTTTAGAGACGTCGACACTGCTCAAGATTGAGGAGTGACCGATGGTACGGTTCATAGTTTGAATATCGAAGTGATCCTAGCGCCGCCACATTCCAGACTGCATTCCAGCACTAATTACACCAACATGTGCAGTCTAGACACGACACGGCATTGTTATCGAAAATAAAATAATCCGACCGCACGATGACAATGTTTACCCGCCTTCCATATAGCAAACTGAATCATCATGAATTTTCCTCCGGGCTTGCAATCGTTAATCCTATTAGCAAACTCCGTGGGGACTATGAATAGGTGACCTAACTCTCAGACTTTGAACTATACACCACCTCTATGCACGTGAAAGGTAGTGGAACAGATGATGTCATTTTAAGGAGACACCGACAAATCTCAGAGGATTTCTAACTTCGCCTTCTATCAGACTAGGGTCTCTATCACTAAGTACGGTAGTATATAGGGATTGGCATGGTACCTATGTAGCATCATAGATGTATGGGGCTATGAAAGGGATATGTATATAGTATGGTATAAACTAGCAATATGAAAGTGAAAGCAACTATTATGGCACGACCTTTGAACTACTCGCCGTGAGGTTCACACGCGTGCACTAGCTGTCCCACGTCGTCAGTCAGTTACTTTATATAAACATCGCACAATTGAGACGACTAGATACGTATTGTAGTCCATTTCAGTCGCCATTAGGTTTGCAGTGCTAGACTGCAGAGTGTCGTGCAGTGCTAGACTGCAGAGTGTTGTGCAGTGCTAGACTGCAGAGTGTTGTGCAGTGCTAGACTGCAGAGTGTCGTGGGTTCGAATCCCACCCAGGGCAGCTCTTCTTCTTTTCTTTGAAAAGAAGAAGAGCTGTCCTGGGTGTAGTTGACTTGTTTGCCTTGCCTTGCCTTTCTACCTCGCTACCAAGTTATGCCTCAAAGTCTATTATGTTGCCTGTTCTAGGGCTTGATCACGAAGTACTGATGCACAAGGTCCTATCATGTGCCTGCGATGTGCACGGTCAAGACATGCAGCCAAGTGCAAGAATGGAGAGCTTTTCGTGAACACACACACACATTTGCCACACAAATGCGCATGCCGACAGCATACAAAGTCTGGTAATGTGTACATTTCATCCATAATCAACCCCACGAGACAACCCATTGACTACTAATAACATTCAACCAATTCCTCAAGAACTTGCTTTAGCCCCTAAATAATGTCACCCCACTAGACAACCCATCTACTACCGTAACATTCAACCAATTCCTCAAGAACTTGCTTTAGCTCTGATACAATGCCACCCCACTAAAGGCTATGATGAGCGATGCAACTTCGCTGCCGAGACAAAGTTGCATGCAACTTGAAATGTATGGGTATGATGGCCTAATACAGACACCATGTGTGGAATAGACGAGACCCACTGCAGCACATTACGCCATTCTGCTGCAGACACGTACAAACCGCACATCACGCCATTCTGCTGCAGACACGTACAAACCGCACATCATCCTACACTCTGAGGGCCTACACCTCTGGACCACACGGCTCATGAATATCCACAACATCCACTGAAGCATGACATTAAGCAGCATACACTATACATACCCATACATCTGATACAAACACATGTAATTAACAATGGGACCATATTAGGTCAGATAGTGGTCCCTTCATGTAATATTTCCCCCAAACCTCATGTGGATACTTAATACATGTCATGTGAATATGCAAGAAATGTGTAATGTCATGTTTATATACGTATAGGATGAGCTACATATGCAAATCAAGTTAAGGGCCGATAGGAGGCTAAATCACTCAAACCAGTGATGTGGCAGTGTGGCTTACTAAAGGTCAGTTATACCACAACGGTTGTATGTAAAAAAAGATTCGGTAAAAACGTGGATTCCTTATTTCAACGTTCAAATTTACATACCCCGCCCACAAAATCTGAGGGGCCGAAAAATTTGTACATTTCTTACGTTTTCAGTTGTACGGTGGTTTAATGGGGTTCAAATATCGACCAGCTTTGAAGTGAAAAATATTTCTATCTTTGCTGTAATTCAGCGATTTGGATTACTACCTTCTACTTTACTCATATCAGTCACGGGCTGAAATGTACGGTACAAGCTAAAAACAATGAAAATTATGCGCCTCAAGTGGCGTACGATGGTAAACTCACGTGAAAAGTCATAAATAACGACCCCTTCTCTCCCGTCCTCTTCATCCTCCTCCTCCCCTTCCTCCTCCTCCTCTGGCTCGGAGAACGACTCCGCCCCTTCGTCAGGCGGAGACGATACGGGCGGAGGTTGTGGGGCGGCCTGTGCCTTCTGCAGAGGCCGGGAGAGAGAGGTGGGTGTGGTCACATCAGGGGTTAAAGTTTAATACCAATATCTGTAAACATTGCTTTTGTGTGAATCATGCAAGTTTTCTGCTACGAAAGTCTAGTTGATGGCTAAAAAAAACAGGAAAATGAAAAGCTTTGCTACGAAAGTATAGGTCTATTAGTTGCTAGGGCTGTGCAGAGGTCGTTGGACTTTTGCCCAAAGGCTCGTCTCCAGAAACAAGCAGGAAATTGAAAAGGGAAAGCATGATTAACGTAGGAAATGAACCCGAGTAGGGAGCACATGGAAAAGCATATAATATAAAAAGCTGAGGCGAAGAAGGAAAAGTTTGCACATAGAAGAAAGACCAAGGAGACCTAACACACCTGTGCTGGAACCGGTTCACTCTTCCCGTTTTTGTCGTTCTTCTTCTTGTTCTTTGGGGACGGCCGCGGGGAAGCCCCTCCCTGTTGGCCCTGGACGCCTTCAAAACAGACTATCGTGGCCCTCTGTAACACATGCCTACCAGGGATACACAAACACACTGGTATTTTGGTCTTGAATATCATGTGATAGGCTAATGTGAAAAAGCAAGTCGACAATGCAAAAATAAGACAACAAACAACCAAATATTTGCCAGGACAAACAAACAACGAAATATATGGACTCCTACGTCTGAAGTAAAACACTTAAGGAAGGAGGGTGGAGTATGTATTAAAACATTACTACAGTGAAAGTGTCCCAATGTATTGTTTGAGGCAGATTTTTGTGGTTCAATTCGTACACTCAATCACTTTTAGACACTAAACTGAATATCTTCTACACTTTCAAGGCTGATACTTCGCTCTGTAACCACCACTCATACCAAACATCGTGTCTACACACGCCACTTCTATGTCCGCTTCTGCCTTCAAATCTCAAAGCATTTTTCAACTGAGAAGGGTGGCTTGAAGAAGGTATGCATTAATTTCTCTCACGTAATATATAGGTATTAGTATGATATGTAATGTAATACACGCGAATTTATCTCTTTCTTCTTCAGTGAGTGCGGCTATTTTCTGACTCGTCGTTCTAGCAGGATTGACCTGACAGTCTGAGTTAGGATCTCCGAGTTTTGGATCTCCTTTGTAGACATTCTGCATCTTTTCCATGGGCCGTCCTAGTCATGAGAGGGAGAGAGAGAGAGAGGAGGAGGGACGGATGGAAAGGAGGGAGGAGGAGGGAGGGAGAGGGAGTGAGGCGATGGAACGGAAGATGGAGCAGGAAGTGGCAGAGATGCATGCAAAGGGTGAGGCGTGAGGGATCGTAAAGAACTAGATGAGCCAACAAAACTACTCAGTAAGGTGAACCTATACAGTGACACTTTGTTGCCTTCACTTCAATGTAGGGTACCATGGGTCCATGCAATGTGTTGCACACGTGCAATGCACAGGACCCATAGTACTCAAACAGTGATGTGACACAAGACTTGCCTATCGCAACTCACGTGTGTGCCACATTCATGAGAGGTAAAGGGCAATGGGGAAGGCACAGGCACAGTGGGGTGGTGGGCATCAATAGGGCGAGTGTCTCTTCACACCCTCCACTCCTCCATACACACACCACATCAAGGTAGTGAGGTGAGGAGAGGTGGTCAGTTGAACTATGGACTCATCATCTGCCCACCCCCACACCCATAATATGCAGGGCTGACTTTTACTTTCATAGGTGACAATCACGCTCAAGCGCTCAAATGGCCCACGCAGCATATACAACCACATTTTGCACGAAATTACGCACCACACTGGAAGGGTGTGGCAATTATTGCGTGCATGTGTATTTCCACAAACGCAGAGAGATCGCACTGTTCTATTGTGGCACACAAAGTGTTAATGCAGAAAACACCCTTGTGTGATGCGATATGCAAAAGGTGCATGCCCACTATTTTTTGCCATGCCATGAATAAGGAGCGAGGAAGGAGCGAGGAAGGAGGGATGGAGAGGATAGGAGAGGGAGGGGAGCGAGGAGAGGGAGTTGGATAGCTTAGATGAGAGAAAAAAGCGGGCTGATTTAGCACCTGTCTGCAGTGGCCTTGCCTAATTTTGGCTGTCGAAAATCGTTGACTTTAGTTGCCAGTTTTTCTTCTCTCCTCCTCTGCTCGAGGGGAAGATGACTGAATCCGGCCGTGCTCCACCTGCAGAGACACAACACATCACACGTACACACTTCACACCCTCACACATAAATGGTCACACACACGTCACATGAGCACTCCACACATCGACACAAGGATTACAATGTTATCAATTTCTTGTCGACCACATGCACGGCAAACTAGTACCCAAATTTGCGAAGGTTTTAGTGAACGTAGCAACTACTGCAGTACGTGGTACAAAACCTGTGGCCATGGTAGCACTAACTGCAGTACGTGGTACAAACCTGTGGCCTATGTAGCAACTAACTGCAGTACAGTGGGTATAAAACCTGTGGCCTACGGTAGCAACTAACTACAGTACAGTGGGTACAAAACCTGTGGCCTATGGTAGCAACTAACTGCAGTACAGCGGGTATAAAACCTGTGGCCTACGGTAGCAACTAACTACAGTACAGCGGGTATAAAACCTGTGGCCTACGGTAGCAACTAACTACAGTACAGTGGGTATAAAACCTGTGGCCTATGGTAGCAACTAACTACAGTACAGTGAGTATAAAACCTGTGGCCTATGGTAGCAACTAACTACAGTACAGTGGGTACAAAACCTGTGGCCTATGGTAGCAACTAACTGCAGTACAGTGGGTATAAAACCTGTGGCCTATGGTAGCAACTAACTGCAGTACAGTGGGTATAAAACCTGTGGCCTATGGTAGCAACTATCAGTGGGTAAAAAATCTGTGGCATTTTGTGGTTACATTATATGTCAGCAGTTGATTATCAATTCTTGTGACGTGTGCTCACCTTTTTCTTGGGCTTTCTCCTGTTTATCTTCTTCGGTCCATACTGCTGGAACTCCTCATCTCCAGGGATGGGGTATCCAGTCTTCCGCTCCTGAATCACCAGCTGGTTGTCCTGGGTAGGGAGGAGGAGGAGGAGGAGAGATGCTGTGCGTTAGTGCGATCAGCTCGTGCGTAGTGCGGTTCACGGGTGAGGTGGGAGGCAAAGTTACCCTGTATGGTCCTAGCATGACCATTCTGCAGATTTCAGGTGCCTCGCACTAAGGCACTCGGCAATAATACCATTTACCCATCCAGTTTTTATCAACAATCTCAATGCTACTCATAAAACTTTATTTTGTCAGTGTAAGTGTTATTGCAGACTGGGTGGTGGGCATCAGATAGGGGCGAGTGTCTCTTCACCCTCCACTCCTCCAGACACACACCACGTCAAGATAGTGAGGTGAGGAGAGAGTGGTCAGTTGAACTATGGACTCATCATCTGCCCCTCACTATCCACCCACAACATGGAATATCCAGCCTATAGTACTTCAATGGAAAACAAGCTTGTGTGAAAACGGCAAGAAATCGCAACACTGCAAACTGCAGTCCAATAATTGCACAATGCACCTATATACATACGTATAACATAGTTCCATTCCCCCTATCCCCTCCCTAACTTCCTTATTCCTACTCCTCCTCGACCACTTCTCTCTCTTTTTCAGATAACTAGAGTGAATGCCATGCATTCTCGGAGAACACGTGTCAACAGTCAAAAAAATTTTCGCGAGTATTTGGAATGCCGTTCAATTTTTCGCACATATTTAGAATCATGTCTCAACAACTTGGTAACGAGGTAGAAAGGCAAGGCAACAAGTCGACTACATCCAGGACAGCTATTCTTTACAACATTATGGTACAACATTACGGTATATGAATGCCCGTCATATATTATACAAACAACCCCATTCAGACAACTAGGTATAGGTTCGCTTCGCTCCGCCAACAACCAACAAACCTTGCCGGGTCCACGGCGGCCGAAGCCTGCACCCTTTGTCGAGAACAGGTGTTAACCGGGGAACAACCCCGCCGACATATACACTAGGCAACTGCGTCACCAAAGCGAGCTAAACCTCTCCATCCGTTTGGCCTTCATGTCACTGCATACTTCTGAGGGGCAGAGGAGGAGAGGAGAAGGGAAGCAGGGAGCGACAGGAGAACGGAGCAGGATGGCAGGAAGGAGGATGAGAAGACCAGAAGCGGACGCAATTGAAAGGAAGTAAAGTCAAACACATATACAATATGTCAAACAATACCTGAAAAACTCGAGCTCTCTGAATTGGTATGAGTGCTTCGTTTCAACAATGCAGTTTTTCTCTAATGGAGTATGTAGTTGTTTTTCGCTCCTTCTCCGGCCCCCTCTCCTCTTGCTCTTATTACACCTGAGTCCAACTGACACACGAACAAATATTAATATCTAGTCAACTGACAAGTGAACAAATATTAATAATCTGAGTCAAATGGAACCACATGAACAAATATTAGGTGCACCCAGAGTCAAAAAAAAAAAAAAAACAAGAAAAAACAAAGGAAAAAAAAAAAAATCAATAACAAACAAAAATAAAAAAACAAAAACAACATCAAACAAAAACACAAGCAATACACAACATGCAATCCAAGAAACAATTCAACACAAAGATCAAAAAACAACATCAACAAAAAACAAAAAAACCAAAAGAACAAGAAAACAGGACTACACAAACAACAAAAAAAAAAAAAACATCAAACACAATACCCCAGTAAACAAAATCGTAACAAACAAAGAAGAACCAACAACAGTCAACGTGACACAAAACATTAAAAAAAACAAAAAAAAGAAAAAAAAACAACAAATACGTGACAAAAAAACACAAAAACTAAAAAACAAAACAAAAAAAAAAAAAAAAGCTACAAAAATAAAATCAACAAAAAAACCATAATCACAAAAAATAAATTCCATAATAAAAAAAAAACAAACGAACAAAGAAATGAAAAAAAGAAAAAGAAAAAATCAGAAAAGTCAAGGAACACCAAAAACAAACGAAGCACACAACAGAAAAAAAAACAAAACGAGCAAAACAACCAAACAAAAAAAACCAAAAAAAAAGAAAACACAGGAGACAGACAAAGTGCAAAAAAAGAACAAAAAAAAAAATCACAACAAAAAAAAAAAAGTCAAAAAAAAAAAACAAAAAAAAACAAAAAGAAAAAAAACAACAAAAAACAAACAAAAAAAACACGGAACAACCACAACAACAGAAAACAAACACAAAGAAAGCAAAACTCCACACGATGAGCCACAACCAACAAACACCACCAACCCACCCACACCAACCCCGCCCCCCCAACCCCCGCACACCCCCCCCCCACCCCCCCCCCCCCAGACCCTCCGCACCCCCCAAAAAAAAAAAGCAAAAAAAGGATGAAAGATCACAAGCCAAGAATAAAAAAACAACAAAAAAAAGCAAAAAATTAAAATTTCACAAGACAACAAAAAAAAACATAGATACAAAAACAAAAAAAAAAATAGTACACGAAAGAAAAACACAATCAGAGAAAAAAAAAAAACTGTGAC